ACCTGTCTGTAATTAAGATATGAACTGTGTTTTATCACTATTATAAGCTATAATAGGAATTAGGGATGAACCGATACTTGTTTACAAACCGATACGAGTATGAGTATTTTAATTTGTGTACTTTCTGATACCGAGTACCGATTCCAATTCTTCTTAGATTTCAATGGAAGTGTAATTCATTTGAAAGGAGGTTTTATTATTATTTTTTTATCCTGTAGCAAGTATGAACACAAAAATCTTTAACAGAAGGCTATTCCAAGCCAAAAATATACACACATTTTTGATACCCCGGAAAACGACAGACCTTATTGATTACCGATTAAGCATTGACACTTAAAGGATAGGTTATCCTCAGGCTGACACACATCCACAACCTCACACATTACATAATCAAGTGTGTGCAGTTTACGTTACGATGCATAAAACCCTGCTATGAGTGATTCTTCTTTATATTCTGCTTTAAATTCTTAATTCGCGAGTCAGGTAATCAAAAAGTATAAGCTACATGATGTTTAATTATGGGTGCGTTGCGATCAATAGTTGGTTATGCAAACTATGGCTACTTTCTCTACAATATTAAGATGTTTTAAGTCAGTGGTTCTCAAACTGTGGTACGTGTTCCACTAGTGGTACGCAGGCTTCCTTCTAGTGGTACGCGGAGGAATGAAATATGTCATGTACATGCTACACACATTTCTAAATGTATAAAAAATTATGTATATAACATGTCATATATGACATATAGCCTATATTTCTGATGTAATCTGCCACGTTTTTTTAACTGTGCAGAGTTGTAGCTGCTTTACTGGGCCTACTACGCTACTGTATTTCAATACTTCTCATTTTGGTCGTACTTGGAGAGACAATTTTTTTCTGAGGTGGTACTTGATAAAAAAAGTTTGAGAACCACTGCTTTAAGTGATTTTATCTTGACAGACTGCCTGCAGTGATGTTCAGCTCTAGGCACTTTTATTAAGCCTGTAGTCTACGATATAATAGTTTAGATCTTTTACATATAATGTTCCATTACTCAAAATTTCTTACATTTTTTTAGATTTATCTTTATATTTAAAATGAATGCTAGCTTGTTTCACTGTGATCATTATGCAATGATCATATTGCATATTGGGTTTATTCTTCAGTAGCCTATAAATTCGTTAATAATGTATTTTATAAACAGATTGTTTATAAAGACTAAGCTATTAATATATAACACATTTATTAATACATTAAGGCATTGAAGTCAGGTAGGACAACAAATCACATCCACACAGTGAAATACTCTTCAGTGGTGTCGGTGCGTGGTATCGGCATTTCATGTACGATAAGAGTATTATAACCAAGTATCGACCCGATACCGGTGCATCCCTATGAGTAATTTATAATAAGTATGATCTTTTTAATACCTAAACTCAACTACTACCTTAATAAGTAACAAAAAGCAGCATATAGGAGTTTATATAGCTTAAAAGTGTGGGTTAACGGTCTATCAATATTGAAAGTTGTACCTTAACATGGAGTGACCAATATTTCTTGCAAAATATAGTGTTTCCCTAGAAAATGCTGTTTTTAATACACTTTTAGAATCATTTATGTAAAGATCATGCCAAAATAAACAGGTCATACAGTAGATATTTGGTCTAAACTAATTAAATCAAACTCAGGATTTTTAAAACATTTAGACTTTACGTGACTTTAAAATACACTGAAAAATGTTGTTTTACTTGTTCAAACTAATTTAAAATGAGCTGAAACAACACAATTCTTGAGATTTTATTGGGACAACTTAGTTTTTTAATGTTCAATCAACTTACATTTGTTCAAAGTGTTAACTTAATCAATTTGTGTTGGGACAAAGTGAATGAATTGTGTGGAACCCTGCGTTTTTTATAGTGTAGGGCTGCACAGTATATCGTTTCAGCATTGATATCGCAATGTAAGAATCTGCAAGATTCACATCGCAGGACGGCAAACGATTAAAAAGATGATAACTGAAACCATTTGGACACAAGAACTTACAACGTTTGCCACTCTAACAAAGATTAAATGTGTTTAATGAAGACTCAATAGCAGAAATGCGCAAACTAGAGGCCTGCGGGCCAAAGGTGGAGAAAAATAACAAAAAACAGGGAGAATAAAGAGGATGGTTTTGAGACTGTCATTTCTAATTTAATGTGACCTTCTATTTATTTGTTTTAATGTTAAGCTACAAAAAAGGCTAGCTAAAATTAAACGCTTTAATTTAAACAGAGTCAATTAGTCAGATTTAGTTTAAAACATACATACTGTCAACGTACAAAGGACTCTGTTTAAGCAAATCAAGGCAAAAACAAGTTCCGCTTGACTAGTGTATTCAGCACTGAACTCCAACGTGTTATAAATGTGTTTTATTGCAAGTATAATAAAAAAGTGATACTGCATTAGTTAATATGATTCAAAGTAATGTTTTCTATTCATGTTTAAATATTAGGAAATAAATGAGTAAATAACCCATGGCCACTTTTATGTAAAATACAGTAGTTTGGTATGTTTATGTCCGGCCCATGGCTATCAATGAAATTTGTTGTTTGGCCCTTCATTTGAAAAATAAATAAATTAAAAAATAAAATAATTTTATATATATATATATATATATATATATATATATATATATATATATATATATATATATATACACATACAATTTTGTAGGTTTTATGCAGATTTACCCCCCTAAAAAATCATCCCAATCAGTGTAACATTATGAATTCTTTACGAATGCTTCTGAAATGATATTATTGCAATATAAATGTCGCTGAAAAAGCTAAATATTGCAATGTCAGCTATTTCCAATATCGTGCAGCTCAACTAAGAATGAATTCTGATTCATAATAGCTGTTAATGTGGCTATTAGTATGTATTTTCAGCTCTGAGGCTCACATTTGGATCCAGCCGATAGCATAACAGCACCTACTGGGGGGGCAGGTTTAAAGATAGTAAAGCCCCATCTTATTGGTCAAATTTGAATAAATAATTCACAAAAAAGCTAGTAATACTGCTCTTAAGTTTTGGTCAAGAGAGCAGACACGTGATGTTAAGGATGAACTCTTCTAGAGTACATGTGTCGAGGGCCCTTTTTTGCACATGATATATAAAATGAAACATATACAGCTGAAGGCAAAAAAAAAAAAACTGAAGAAATTGTAAATATTTCCTAAATGATGTTTAACAGCAATGAGCTTTTCACAGTATTTCCTATTATAGTTTTTTCTTCTGGGGAAGATGATTTAGTTCTTTTGTTTTGGCTGTAATGAAGGCAGCTTTCAAATTTTAATTAATTTAAGGTCAATATTATTGGCCCCTTAAGAAATTAGCATATCCAATTGGCTACAGAACAAACCACTATTGCCTATTGACTTCCCTAATTCTCACAAATTACGTGACATTACCCAGATGGAGGAGCTTGGCCAGACATGCCTCGGCTCGAACCAATCGCATGGATCGGGCACGTCTTGTTAATATTAGGAGGGAAATAAATAAATCCATTCACTTGGACACTTTCAAACACTTTGGACAATGCTTGAACAAAATTAAAGACCTCGTAAAAATGCAATTAAGACTTTTTTTTTTATACCTTTTAAGGGACTTTATTTTCTCATAATTGATTTTTCCGCTTTTAATACTTTAAGACCTCACTGACACCCTGTAGAAACGAAAGCAGGGCTTAATTTGTGTTGAAAGACGCAAGATCCAGAACCTCTGAAATTTGATCCGGCACCTCATTTTACAGATAACCCTACTTTTCCATCCGCTGTTAACTTTTACTGTCTTCCGCGACTCCCCAACCCTCTACACTTTCATCTGCGACAACCCCGCCCCGCTCACGTTCGTCCGTGACACCACTCCGCCATCCACTGCACCAATCCCCCAAATGTAATTTCACAAAGAGGCTAATTAATTCGCCTTCAAGTATAGACATGTCATTTTTTTGACTATCAAAACCAAACGTATACTTCAGGCATCAAAAAAAGTACAGTGGTCTCTCGCTATAACACAGTTCACCTTTCACAATCTCGCAGTTTCGCTTTCTTTTTGTGTGCAATTTGACACGCTTCATTTATTTATTTTACAGGGAGTTGTATTTTGCGTCCTGATGGCTTTAGACCATTGTCAATCAATCTTCTCTGCATCTCCTGTGCATTACAGAATGTGTTCAGCTTGCCAATTTAACATAAATCTTCAATGTCTAGCAGTGTGAGCTGCAATAAGGATGCAAAAAGGGTTGTAACTGTCTGAAGCAAGACCATTGTAAAGGGGGTCGCACACCAGATGCTTGGCGCCACGCAGCGCCTTGCATTTTAGAATTGTAAATATAGGTTTATATCAAGGTAGCACACCGGCGCCGCAAATCAGCGGCTGTCTGCGGCACTGAGCTATGACTCAGGACACTGTTCATATTTCTGCCGCGCCACAGAATAATTGCATTTTAAATAACATGTGAATGTGCGCATCTGGTGTGTTACTTTCAATAGTCATGTGCGTGATGTATCCGGTGTGCGACACCCTTAAGGATGGAGTCTGCTTTAGCTTTGTGGATCAGTGACTACAGGAAAAAGAACATAGTCTGGATGCCAACGGTATCTGCACAAGCGCAAAAGCTAAACAGCTTTATGAACCTTTTGCTGACAGTAATGAATGTTTTCACCTGACAACAGGTTTTGGTCTTTGGTTTCATTCTATAATACTGCACTTCATTTTCTACGAACTTTGAGAGTGTTTAAACAAGAGAGAAAAGTCTAAAAATATATTTGTCTGTCTGAGAAAAGTGTAAAAATAGTGCAGTGAGGGGTTTCACAGCCTTCAACATCTGTAATAATTGTAAAAAATAAAGCGGACTACTACTCGGATTTCGCCAACTGCGTTTTTTTTTTTTTCTAACTCCCGCGAATAACGAGGAACCACTGTAAAGTAAAAAAATCTGAGCCCTTGATGATCAAATAAAACATCGTCAAAGATGCCAATGAGGTTAAATCTCCTACTGTTTAATGAAAATGTGACGCACCAAAGGCAGGGTACAGTAAAACTACACAGAGGGAGAAAAGAGAGGATTCATTCTTAAAACAGGTCTGTCTGTCTGTCCACCGCACGCTCTGTCCGTCAGGTCGGTCGCGGGAGCTCCGTGTGGGTGGCAGGTGACGGTTGGGGGGCCTGTGGGACGAGGAAGGGGCGGGACAGGCGAGGGAGGGGAAAGGAGTAGGAACTGGGGGCTCAAGTGCACCGGTGATTTCACTTTTAAAGTACAAAGAAAAGGGAAAGATTCATTCAGAACTATAAGCTCGCCCCCCTGCCCAAAACCTTTCCTCTCATCTATCCATCCGTCCGTCCGCTCGTCAATCTGTCCAATCATAAACCGGTCGAAAGCAAAACGATGAAAAATCTTGACAGAGAGAGAGATGCATTGCTGTTTGTTTTTGATCACGCTCTCTGTCGGTCCATGTGTTTATTGTGTGTGTAGGGTGTTTAGTAGTGCTTCTCACCTCCCTGTCGCGTGTTTGTTTGTGTGTGTACATCAGTATCTGTATGCCTCAGTGTGTGTGTGTGTGTGTGTGGATCATACAGCGTACAGTTCATAGATCTTCTTGGCACAGTACGCGAGGGCCGCCAACGCTATCGTGTTGTGCAGTCTCTTTCTGTGCACGTCGTCCCGTCGGACAAGAACCACCGGCGTGGAGGAGGTGAGTGTGTGCAGGGGCAGCCGCGAGAGCTTCTGACTGTCGTACTCCACCTGGTACTTGCAGCAGGGGTCGAACTGCCAGGATATGCCGTACAGCGTGGCACAGGCCAAGCTCAGAGCGCCAGCCGGCAGCGCCACGTAACGGGAGTATTCGACGGGGAGGGCGAGCGGCGTCAGGAGGCACGCGGCGCCGGCCAGGACAGCGGTTTTGTGCAGGCAGTTCCCCACGGCTACCCAGCGGGCCGTCTCGTCTCCGATCCGCGTGGGCTCGATCACGATGTAGCGGTATTGCGCCTCCAGAGCCTGCTCCAGCTCGTACTCGAACTGCTCCTGTGCATTCTCGCCGTTGTAGATCTCGTGGACGATGTAACACTCCGTGGCCGCCATCACTCCCCTGTAGGAAAGGAAAGAGAGGAGAGTCGATGTAAATGAAACCAATCCTACTTCAGATTCTAAAAGCTTATTGATTTTGATGAGGGTTTGCAGCAGGAGTGCTTAACCCTGGTTCTGGAGTTCTACCTTCCCAACAGAGTTCAGCTCCAATCCTTATCAAACCCAACTAAACCAAGGTCACACTGCACGTTTTGTTCCATAAACTTCCATTCATCGACTGGAAACACAAGCTCGTGCGACAAGTTTCACAGCTCGCGGCTTTCGAAAGCTTGGTGAACTCTGAGGGTGCTTTCACACCTGCCTTGTTTAGATTGATTGAATTGCACAAGAGTTCGTTTCCCCTTTTGGTACAGTTCATTTGGGCAGGTGAGAATGCAGCAATCGTACTCGAGTGCGCACCAAAACAGACCAAATATGCGTACCGAGACCTGCTTGAAGAGGTGGTCTCGGTATGCTTTCAAACAAACCCTGTAGTGGTTTGATTGTGGTGAGAATATGATCCGTACTAAAACAGGTCCAACCACAAAAAGTACTGCACCTTTTGGACTAATTCAGCTGCCGTAGGCCGATGCGCTGTGCATTATGGGATATGGAGGAAAAATATTTGTTGACAGCGCTTTACCAACAGAGAGAGAGAGGGGAAAACGAGAGATCGTTGGTAATATTTTCGCAAGATGACCATGTCGCAGTTTAGCTAAATTAATTCACGTCTCCTGCTGAAGTGACGAGCGATGCATTAAACACTGTTTTCCAGCCGCAGCCACGCTTCATTCTCGAAATGTATAGTTTGTCTAAAGCAGGCATACAATCAGTCAGCGCAGTCGTCCCTTCATAGTAAAAAGAGACATTTTGTGTCTGCCAGTTTTGTTTACTTGCGGAAGTTCACTGGCATTTTCCTGCACGAGAATTCTGACCAATCAATAAGCAGTTCAGGAAATATGTTCAACAATATCTGGCCAATGAGAGATGTGGATTTTTTCAGATGACTGCATTTTGATTCCTTTCAACTGGTTCGGACCAAAGCCAGCAGTGTGGTGTGAAAACGACCCAAAGACGGCAGAAGATGCAACAATGTATCATTTATTACCCTTGGTGCTGACCAAATGAAGCGAACTACAGATGTGAAAGCACCCTGACTTGCAAAATCACATCTTGTGATTGAGTGAGACCAATCAAAGATCAAATCTTGACCTCTTGGAGAATCTTGATCTCTGGACAGAAACTTGAAATATGGAGCAATCACTCGCTTCATCCATGTCTAATCATCTTGTTTTATCCCGCCTTTTTTCACAGCGATGTACGACAGAATTTCAAATGCTCAAACTCTAGTGTAGGGATCAGCAAACTTGTTCCTGGAGGTCCTGTGACCTGCAGATTTTAGCTCCAACCCTAATCAAACACACCTTAACAGGCTAATCAAGGTCTTGCTAGGTATACTTGAAACACTCAGGCAGGTGTGTCGAGGCAAGTTGGAGCTTAACCCTGCAGGACACTGAACCTCCAGGAATGAGATTGGTGACCCCTGCTCTAGTATGATCGCGGCATAAGAAGGATCTAGAGGAGCTCTTAGAAATCAAAGACAAGTGCATTTGGTCAAGGTTGCAGCTAAACTATGCAGGAAGGTAGGAGGAGTGAGAATCCCTGGTTAAGAGTTCATTGCCAAATCAGCATCAAAGGGCATATTTCATGACAAATAGATAAAACTTACAAATGGTTTTTAAATAACACACTTCCATAAACAATAGACATCAACACCAATAAATGATACAAAAAATAAAAATGTAAACTTTTTTGTTACTTTACATTTGATGATTCTTACATTTTTAAATGGATTCACATTTAACAATAAGTATTTTAAAGTTCCTCCAGGTTGTCTCATCATCTTAAAAATACAATAAGTCAAAAGATGAATTTCGGAGCAGCTTCTACTTAAAGGTGCAGTAGATGATCTGAATAAATGCTATCAGTTAAGGCTGATTTATACTTCTGCGTCAAACACCGGCGTATGCTACGGCGCTGACGCATAGCTCTTCGTCGTGGCCGTCACTGACGTGCACCTCTCAAAAAATGTAACTACAAGTCGCAACGACGCATAGCGCAAGCTCTGTGATTGGTCGGCTTGGTAGCGCTGACGAGTCTGGGCGGGACCGAGAGCCGCGCGAATGGCACGAACCCAATGTAGCGATTGTTTACAAGTGTGAAGTCCCGTGAAGGAGCTCCGGATGGAAAGTTTTGTTTTGTGTTTACCTCATAGTTAAAGTTGCTGCACGTCCGCCGGTTCCTGCCTCAAAATGAGCTAGTTTGAGCCACTTGTACATCCCGGAAGTGTTCAGGAAAAGCAAAAAAGCAGCGAAGAAACTCGACACAGAGGAACATTTACACCTCACTGCCAACTAGCGTTTCGGAAGCGTTAATGCAGACCTACAGAGACAGCGCGCAGAAGTATAAATGCACAGCTACGCACGTTGCATGCGCCGTGGGTTACGCCTGTCAATTGACGCAGAAGTATAAATCAGGCTTTAGCATGACATCTTTGAAAACACAATCCCTCCCCTGCTGTCTAAAGCCAGGCCTCCTGAAATTACACGAACACACATTAAAGATGACAGAGACAGCGACTAGATCATGTTATTCACCAGTTAGAAAACTTTATAGTACTTTATAGTACTGCAATTATTATAGTATCATTATAAAACTTGCATGCTATTTTAGAACAAATATTCAAAGTAGCATGGTACACAATCACAGGTTGTCACTGTTTAAAAATGAACCAATGTGAATATAAAACCAACTTCAGCTCAGTGAAGCAGGCTAGGCAGAATAGCGCTATTTACTGATGTTTTGTAACTAAACTAAATAAAAATCTACATTATGAAATTGAAAATAGTCATCTTTCACTGGAGGATTTCAGGGGCTGAACACTTCTGAGCATATAACGCATTCATAACAATCTACATCTGCGTGCGTGCAGCCGTGCACACATAAAAAGCAGATCTGCATGAACAGAAGCGCAGTTATACAAATCTACATTTGCTGACAGACAGTTTGGGCTACTTATCAGAACTATGGGAATTTTCAGCTCGACAAATTTTAATTGGGTGAACATTCTTATGCCCAACCAGAATATAAAAACACATATAAACACATTTAGATCATTTACTTTAATCATTACTATTGGAATGTAAAGATAATTTCAACCAGCACAACAAAAAACATTTCTGAAGACAATCACCTACTGCACCTTTAAGAAACTTGCATCTGAACTCTTCAAATGTGCATTATTTAATACTAATGCTAGATGCAAAAACTAAATGTACATGAATGAGTAAGTCAAGTGAAGGGGTGTCCAAACTCGCTCCTGGAAGGCCGGTGTTCTGCTGAATTTTGCCCCAACTTGCTTCAACACACCTGCCAGGAAGTTTCTATTATACCTAGAAAGAGCTTGATTAGCTGGTTCAGGTGTGTCTAATTGGGGTTGGAGCTAAACTCCCCATGACACCGGTCCTCCAGGACAGAGGCAACATATGTTGGGCATATGTTGGGCAACATATGTTGTATAAGTTGGCAGTTCATTCCACTGTGGCGACGCCAGATTAATAAAGGGACTAAGCCGAAAACAAAATTAATGAATAAATTAATGAATGTAGTTTTTTACGGCTATATTCAAGACCATTTGCAGAGGCAATGGGAAAAAAGGAATATAGTTGAAATTATATTCACTTGTTTCACAAACTAAAAACACTCTCAAAGAAATGGTAGGGTAGACATTAGGCCTGCACGATTCATCGATTTAAACAAAAAAATAATAATAAAAACGCGATTAACAAAAGCTGCGATATTACGACTATTACAATGACGAGGGAGGTGAGCACGAGTAATTAAAACAATTCAAATAATGTTACTTAAAAAGCAGACAACAGTTACAGCCGGACCCAAGAGCCCCTATTTCACTGCTATGGAGATGAAATGAAAGCTGTAAGATGTTCCATCTCTGCGTGCGTGGGGGCCTTTGACCTGCTTGCGTGAGGTAACGTTTCCTCTCTTCTTTGGCTATTACAGCGATACATGTGGACACACACACGCGCTCTCACATATACACATACATGAGTGAGTCTGACTGCTGTATTAAGTGACGAATTGTATTAAAATTTATATATAAATATATTTTTTACATTTTAATACATGAATTCTTGTGCTTTAAAGTAAAATCTAAAATTGTGTATGGAAAGCCTTGTCATTGTACCATGAATGTCATTAAGTCAATATCAAAAATGTAACCATGTAAATGTAAAGGTTTTAAGATTTTATACATCATTTATTTAATTGAACTTTAAATACTGTAGTCATTCATTCATTTTCTTTTCGGCTTAGTCCCTTCATTAATCCGGGGTCGCCACAGCGGAATGAACCACCAACTTATCCAGCACGTTTTTACGCAGTGGATGCCCTTTCAGGCTGCAACCCATCTCTGGGAAACATCCACACACACACTCATTCACACACACACTCAAACACTAGCGACAATTTAGCCTATCCAATTCACCTGTACCGCATGTCTTTGGACTGTGGGGGAAACCAGAGCACCCGGAGGAAACTCACGCGAATGCAGGGAGAACATGCAAACTCCACACAGAAACGCTAACTGACCCAGCTGAGGCTCAAACTAGCGACCTTCTTGTTGTGAGGCAACCGCACTACCTACTGCGCTACTGCTTCGCCTTAAATACAGTAGTTAATTTCTTAATATGTCACACTAACTGGTAACTTTATGGGGAAAAAACAGTTTTAAAGCAGCATCACAGTTGAGCAAACTCTTGATTCTGCTTGGTCTCTCTTTGGTGCTGTTAAAACCACTACATCAAACCTGCAGCTTTTTAAAAAATATAATAAACCGCATTTTAAATTGCGATTATGATCAGATAAATTGCAATTACACTTTTATTCCTTCAAATCATGCAGCCACTGACTTGCATTTGTTTAATTTCGGACAACAGTTTCAGCTAAAAAAAAAAAAGAAAAAAAAAGAAAAAAAAAGTTTAATGTACTACTCAAAAACGTCCCCAATATTTACTGAATGGTTTGATTATTCAAAATTAACTTTAAATATTGTGTCTAACAGCTTACTCTAAAATGTATTTTACAATATGACACGGTTACTAAACATTTCTGGACTCAAACTGAACGTTTATCCTGGCGTTTGTGTGAGACGTGACATGTCTCGCGTTATCTACATCAGCCACACCATCTGAGGCCTGAGCTCCTAAAGAAACTTTTAAACGGTTTAACGATGCTGAAAGACTGGGGTGAAGTGTTTAAATATACAATGAACGCTCAAGTATATTAATTAAATCCTGTCATTTCATTATTCCCACTATGATAGGAAACAATCAACCGTTAACGAACTTAACTCGACAAAGTTATTCGCGATCGCTCCGCATTTTGCTTCGGTCTAATAAATGACACCCTGTCAGTTTCACAAGGTTTGTTTTAAATGAACACATTATAAAATATTAAATAGTATGTCTGCCAGTTTCTGAGATTTATACACCAAATATGAAAGTTAGTGTGGAGCTAACTGTCCATCTCTCCTTGAAAGCCGCTGTCATTGCTGTGGAGCGCTATTTTAACTTATTCTTCTCGTGTCAGAAGGGTAACACAAACTGCAAAAAACACGACAAACAAATGGCAAGTTTTTAGATTGATCTGCGATAGAAAAGACATCTTAGTGCTGCTCTCTGCACTTTAATCGGCTGAGGGACCCTGGAGTCAGTAAGGTAATCAAAACAACACATGAGCTCTATTCAGATTATGTTTTTAGTGTTTGTGGCTGAATAAAACGCCAAAGGATTTGGTACGTTAACCATAACGAACTAACGCAGAAAGTGCATGAAGCGTAAACATTTCGCGGTACCTATTAAGAAATAATGACAGTTTTTAGGCTAACTGACCTCTCCCTGTTGACTGGGACACCGCGCCTCCTTCCCAGCGACGCCATCTTGACAAAGCAACGGACTAGACTTGACGCAAAATTCGTCGGCGTGCACTATGGGTAATGTAGTTCGCTGCTCACAATCCTCAAGGCTTTCAAGAACATCAAAGGCACTACAAATCCCGTGAAGCAATTCAGCCGAGGACTCTACCAACTGAACTGAATATGTAACGATATTAATATTTGCTTTGTTTCGCTAACGACAGTTGTTTGTGATACATAAAACACACTATTTGACGCAATAGAGCAGCAGTTGGATTTAATTGAGATTTAATTCGTGACGCTGTATAATTATGCGCGTGGTTTTAAAAGTGACCAATCGAAAGCAAGGACAACACTATGGGGCTTTCAGTAGGACAAACCATTCCCAGAGCGCACGCAAACGCTGCACAAAGAAAATGTGCTCTGGATAAAATGATTGAACTGTCTTGTAGCGCGTCCAAAACCTTCGTTCACGGACGGGATGGTGTTACAGAGAGGCCACTCACCCATAATGTGGTCGGTTCTGCTTTGTGTAGTGAGTCCCTTCCCCGTACGGCGCCCACGGAGCTGCTGCAAAGGGGAAAACCGTGTTATAACAACTGCACGGCGCACACGTGCAGCGCTGCTCTCTGTCTCCCCCAGTAACAACTATCGCATGACATACAGGAGCAATAACAACACTTGGTCATTAACATAGAGAGGCTGTTGTAGTATTTTTTTTAATACCAATGCTACATTTATTTATCCAAAGTTTCAGTAAATTTCAGTTTACGTTTACATTGTCGTTTATGGAGCATATAATATGCCAAAAAGTTTAATTATGTTAATTTGAATTACTGACAATTGTAATTTAATAAATCTGAATTTGTATATGCAGTTGTTTCAAATCAGAAATTCATAACTTGAAAATTGAATATATTAAATTTAAAACTTCTAATTTTTCAAGGCTGAATTTTGTATAGACATATTTTCAAGCTTCAGATTTAATGTGTTCTGAATTCATGCAGATATCCAGTTTGTAAAAGTACTGTTTCAAGTTTTCAAGATGTAGAAATTCAGACCATCAAATTCAATATCCTAAAACTCAAAACCAGAAATTCAGATGGTGAAATTCAGATTCAGAAGCAAGTAGGTCAGGGGTCACCAACAGGGAAGAGTAGATCACTGAAAAGTAAACTAAGCATTTTGGCCAATCACAGAGCTGCATGACTCTCCGTCTTTGTCACTGAATTGTTCATTCAGATTCGTTCGAATTGGCTGATTTATAAATGAATTTAGAGACTCACTATAAATGACTCACTCAGAGATTTCTTGTTAACCTCTTTTGTTAAGTGCTCAAAACTTTGTTTCAAATGGTAACAACATAAGAAGCGTTAAAAAGTCTATATTATATTATATTATATTCACAATTCAAATTCAGATTTTGGCATATTATTAGCTCCATAGTCATTTAGCAGACACTTTTGTGCAAAGCAACTTACAATGGAGTAGGCATTCAGCAATTCAACAAGAGGCAATCCACTAGGGGTGTTTGGTTTTGTGTTATTTGGAGTGAACTCCGCATCTCAACTCCTAATTTTAGAGTTGGTGGAATCTACTCAGGAATAAACTGCATTTACATTCTTATAACTCACGGGAGCACGAGGAGAACATGCAAACTCTGCACAGAAATGTCAACTGTTCCAGTAAGGACTTTTAACTAGCGACGTTGTTGCTTTGAGGCAACAGTGCAAATCACTGGGCTGTCATGTAGCCCAATCTAAAAAAAGTTGGGTGGAGAACAGGCGAGTTGGAAGGGGCATTCTTCAAGACGAAGATACTAAGGTGAGAAACTGGTTATTTATAGTGAGTTAGGAATCGTCGGATTGCTGAATCATGTGTTAGCTAATGCTGAACCAGCCGTGGTCAATCATAAGCACGTGCTCCTCTCGAAAGTAGTTTATTTCTACAGAATCATCTTCTGATGCACAGCCTTGGACACATCATCGGTGTTGTTTTCTGGACTCACTGGGTGTTTCGGATCTTGCAACAGACACCCTCCTCCAGGCCACCCAACCAAAGCTGATCAGACCTCGGCCTGTGTCCAAGTGGCATGCTACTGCCCCCACTGTCACCCCCCCCTACTTCTTTCTCTCCTGAGCCTCCTCCATCCTCTCCTTCCCGGACACTGTTAGCTCTAGCAGGATTAGTTGTCCTTGGGCCTCAGAGACCAAGATCATGTCAGCTCTCAATGTGGACTGGGTGATGTGTGATGGAATCTTCAGTTGCCTCTCTAGGTCAAATGACATCACCCATTCTCGGGCCGTGGAGAGTAAACCAGCAGGGCAGCTCTTTGATGTTTTCTCTGGCCTTTGTCCTTCTTTAATGTGAATGGCCTTGGCTGTGGTTTGGCGATATCAACTGTCCTTGATCCCCTTGCTGATTGCCTCAGTAATGGATTTAAAGGGTCACTAAACACCAAAACACATTTTTTGAGCTGTTGACAGTCGTATATGTGTCCCACACTGCTAAAAAACACTATTAGGACACCTATATTTCACTAAAAAGTGTAAATTGGTTGTTTTTGCGTTATTTCAAGCAAATTCGTACTTCCGGTTTGAAACGAATTTTTGAAGCTGCGTCACGGTCATGACATAATAGCGTTGAATTCCAGCGTGCAGACTGGGCGTCTGTGCCAGAGTGAGTCTTATTACGTCTTACAGTGTGTTGCATTAATGCATGAGTAAAGCTTGGTTCAAACCAATCAGCGCGCTCTATTGTGCAACTTCATTAATATTCATTACTGTCACAGTGCTTAGACGACAGACACACCACGTTGTGTTGGCAAAACAAGCGTGAAGTGTTGCTTTTATAGTTTGCTGCCGTTAAGTTTCATTTTCATTTTCTCTCTGTGAGAGCTCAGACTCACGTGTGGATTAACAGTGTACGCGACGCTCGACAACAATAACTTACGTGTCTAAGGAGGATTATTGTTTACCTGAGAGCTGTTCTCATCTGCAAACGCTGAAATCCGGATTCGCTTGTAGTCTTCTCTTCATAAAGACGCAGCTCTAGTTGCTGGTGATTGTTCTGTCTCTACAGATTTGGTAAGTGAGCGACCAGTGCTCTTTGTTTATTCAGTTTGTTCGTATCGAACTAAGTTAACTATTGCACCGAGTGTAAACATGTTAGCACCACAACCAAACTTTAACCTCGTGTAGGGTTTTCACCGCATTTTGTGACCTGAATAACACACGCGGCTTTCTGACACTACCTGCTGTGTGCATCTAAGTTTCTGGGAAATGCTGAGGTTTTTTTTCTCTCATTCGCCGTGCGGTATCAAACATTGCATGAAAAATACACACTTAGAGCAGTTCCTCCAATCAAATATCTCGTTTGTCGCGAGGGGCATGAATGAATTCCCTGAATGAAAGAGCCAAACTGCAGTTAAAGTCCACCATTTAATAATTTGGCAAATAATTCGACTACAGATGTCCATGTAGGTTAAACACCATCACTTTCTCCTGTGTGTTTGTGTGTGTATTTTGACCCTGAAACTCGCGCGTGCCCAAATAGACACTCACACACCATCCCACTTTTCTTCCTCCGACACTCCCCCCTAAACAGAGCTGGACACGCCCACTTTTCTGACTTTTTCCAAAGTAGAGGTGTGAAAACACCCTGCTGAAACGAGGGGGTTTCATGGCCCTTTAAGGACCAGATCGTGTCTCCATTGATACCGACCCTCGCCTAGTGCCTTGGAGCAGCTGCTCAAGCTATATTCTTGTGTCCCTGGCTTGGAACACAGCAGGCATATAGGTGTCTCTACTCTGCCCTATGTGTACAGCAGGTTAGATGGGCTGGGAAGAACGTCGTAGACCCCTTGGATCAAACACCTGATTCTCAGTGGGTACACGTCCAGATGTTACATTCCACTCCATCGCCTGCTCCCACTTCATCCAGGCACCTTGCTGCCGCATGGTCACGGCTCTGCTGGTTTTCTCCTCCTCAAATATAAATCAACTTCACTTAGTTTGAGGGTGCTTTCACATCTGTAGTTTGCTTCATTTGGTCCGGACCAAGGGTAATAAATTATACATTGTTGCATTTTCTGCCGTCTTTGGGTCGTTTTTACACCACACTGCTGGCTTTGGTCCGAACCAGTTGAAACGAACCAAAATGCAGTCATCTGACAAAATCCACATCTCTCATTGGCCAGATGTTGTTGAACATATTTCTTAACCTGCTTATTGATTGGTCAGAATTCACGTGCGGGAAAATGCCAGGGAACTCCCGCAGGTAAACAAAACCTTTTACTCTGGACTGAGGGACGACTGCGCTGACTGATTGTATGCCTGCTTTAGACAAACTATACATTACGAAAATGAAGCGCGGCCACGGCTGGAAAACAGTGTTTAATGCACCACTCTTCACTTCAGCAGGAGACGTGAATTAATTTAGCTAAACTGCGACATGGTCATCTTGCGGAAATATTACCAACGATCCATCAGGTAATGTTTTCCCCTCTCTCTCTCTCTCTCTCTCTGTTGGTAAAGCGCTGTCAACAAATATTTTTCCTCCATATCCCATAATGCACAGCGCATCGGCCTACGGCAGCTGAATTAGTCCAAAAGGTGCAGTACTTTTTGTGGTTGGACCTGTTTTAGTACGGATCATATTCTCACCACAAACGAACCGCTCCAGGGTTCGTTTGAAAGCATACCGAGACCACCTCTTCAAGCAGGTCTCAGTACGCTTATTTGGTCCGTTTTGGTGCGCACTCGAGTACGATTGCTGCATTCTCACCTGCCCAAACGAACTGTACCAAAAGGGGAAACGAACTCTAGTGCGATTCAATCGAATTAAATAAGGCAGGTGTGAAAGCACCCTTAGTTTGACTTCATTATTTATTAAAAAATTGAAGATATTTAGCTAATTTTCCCCATGCAGTCAACAATGCATCAAACTCATAAACCAAGATGCATTTTAATGTTTGTTTTTTTTATTATTCAAACACATAAACAGTAATATTAAGAGTACATAAATGTGTAAAAACAGATGAATTTCAGGCGTTTTTACTCTGAATTACACCATAAGCAGACGTATGACAGAGCCTGGTTGTTTTGTTTGAAATAGATGACCTTGGTTAATATCTCCAGCAACATTATGGTCATCAATGGGGTCACGGATGTTCATGTCAGCACAGAATATGGCAAGCAAACAACCGATCTTGCTCAAGGCAGTTCGCCGACTGACTTTTCATTAGCCTCTGGGAATTATGGGAGCGCCTGACATACGCTGACATTCACACACTCAAACTCAGTCTTTCAACATACGGCGCACACACAAACACACATCCATCCACATGTAACAAAATCCTCTGAGACACGGGTTCTCAACTCCAGCCTTCAAGATCCACTTTACTGCTGGGTTGAAGGGTTAGTTCACCCAAATATTTAATGCTAGCTCATGATCTCTTAACAAAACTGGGAACATGCCACTTTCGATTTTGGAAATTAGCTAATTTTACAACTATCCTAGAGTTAAACTGTTGAGTTTTACCAGTTTTTGAATTCATTTAGGCAATCTTAGGGATTGGCAGGGGCACTTTTAGCTTAGCATAGGCCATTGAATCATGTTAGACCATTAGCATCTCGCTTGTAAAATGAAAAAAAGGAGATTTTCCTATTTAAAGTTTGACTCTTGTTCACGTAGTTAGATCAATGTAAAAAAGTTGCTACTTTTTAGCCTGATATGGCAGGATCTATACTTTCATTTTTACATAATTATCAATGCCATTATATTCATTTTCTTTTCGACTTAATCCCTTTAATAATCAGGGGTCGCCACAGCGGAATGAACCGCCAAATTATCCAGCATGTTTCACGCAACGGATGCCCTTCCAGCTGCAACCCATCTCTGGGAAACATCCATACACACTCATTCACTCTGGACAATTTAGCCTACCCAATTCACCTGTACCACATCTTTGGACTGTGGGGGAAACCAGAGCAACCGGAGGAAACCCACACGAACGCATGGAGAACATGCAAACTCCACACAGAAACACCAACTGACCCAGTCGAGGCTTGAACCAGCAACCTTCTTGCTGTGAGGCAACAGCACTACCTACTGCGCCGCCAATGCCATTACATAATAAATGCTAATAGTCCAATCCAATACAATGATTTGTGCTAAGCTAAAAGTGAACATTTTAGACTTATACATGTATGACAGTTAGCAGAAGTTACACAAAACTGTTCATAAAGGCTCCAGACTATGCACTTATTGTATTTGACCCTAATTATTTTGTTAAGCTGCCTCTGAATGTTCAGGTCTTGGGTTAAAACAAAAATAAAAGAAAGAGTTTGACTCTTCTTCATGTAGTTAGATCAAAGGGAAAATGAAAAGTTGCTAGCCTGATATATGGCTAGTAACAATACTCTCATTTTGACATTATAATCAATGCCATTGTAAAATAGATGCTAACGGTCTAATCTGATTCAATGATTTATGCTAAGCTAAGCTAAAAGTGAACATTTTATAATTTATACATGTACAACAGCAAGCAGAAGTTACACAGAACTGTTCATTAACACTCCAGACTATGTAATTATTGTATTTTTGACTCTTTAACTATTTTAAGGTTCAGGTCTTGGGTCAAAACAAAAATAGTAAAGAAGAGTTTGACTCTTCTTCATGTAGTTAGATCAATGGGAAAATTAAAAGTTGCTATTTTCTAGCCTGATACATGGCTAGTAACTATACTCTTATTTTGACAGAATAATCAATGCCATTGTATAATGGATGCTAACGGTCTAATCCGATTCAATGATTTATGCTAAGCTAAAAGCCAAGATGACTTTGTTTAGACATCTATTGGACATCTTTTAAAGACAAACAATAGCTTGCTGGATATTGTATAGTTTGAATGACCCCCAGGACCCTTTTTTTAACTAACCACCATCATGTTTGACTAAATGAAGTAACTCATATACACCTATGATGCCTTGAGGGCGAGTAAATCATGCGCTAATTTTAATTTTAGGGTGAACTACCCCCTTAACTTGCTTGAATGTGTACAGTAATCCTGAAGGCCTTTATCAGCTGATTCAGGTGTTGGATCAGAGTTGGAGGACAAGTGGATCTCAAGTATCAGATCTGAGAATCTTTGCTCTATTCAGAGGTGCGTTTTTGTTGTTTATAAAGTGTGCATCCTGAGAGGTTCAGTCCCGCGAATATATGGGCAGGCGATTGTCTCCAGAGCCCGAGCTCTTCACTGGCATTAGTACACACAGATACACAGCATAGATCACGCACAGAATTCAACAGTGGGACGGTTTGATTGTGGCGTCCCTAAAACTCCAGGCTGAGTGTGCATGAAGGTGTATCATAATTGTGTGTATCTCTCTTATCAGCACCATTGAATCTGAAGGCGCGAAGCCAGAAAGGCATACGGAGTCTAATGTCACTCTTAACCGCTGATATTTGTGAGTTCATAGCGGCGGTCAAAATCCTCTCACTTCTGTGGATTGGCTTTAAAGTCCGCTTGAGTAACTGGGAGTCAAAAACCCACCTCAAATTCCACACGCTCCTCTTTCCTAAGAAAAACGTTTACACAGCTTTGTAGTCAGATCTTTTCCCCTCCTTCAGTCACATTCACTCTCGCAAACACACACAAAAAATAAATCTCTTTCTTTTGTGGAGTTTCAAGACAGATTAGGGACACCCAACAGATACCCATCCCACCCAATCCCAATTCATCCTGTTAAGAATCGAGAGAGAGATCCTCGACGTGTTCAGTGGAGGATGCGCTCCAAGTATTGGGGGTGAGGATTTTCCTTGACGAATTTCTGGATGTACCAGCAGGTTAAATGGGCCTTTAGGTCCTCCTCAACCACAAAATCCATTGCAGCCTAAGGGGAGAAGAAAATACAAACCTAATATTAATGCACACCACACCATAAAACATAGTTAACTATTATTATTTACTATTTAATTCATGTTTATTTCTATAGCACTTGTAGATTGTGTAAACTTAACTGTGTCCAAGTCAGTTTTTAGAGTTGAAGTTCAGTTTAGTTCAGTTCAGTGTAGTTTAATTTTTGCTGCTGAAAGCCCAAATCACTGAAGAGCAAATTCATCAATGTGCAGAAACGCAAGTGCTAAACCAAGCAAGCCAGTGGGAATTGTGATGAAGAACAAACTTCAGCAATTGATAAAAGTGAAGGAAAACTACACAGCTACAGTTTGGGATACTTGATTCTGATTGGTCAATCATGCCACACAGCAGTTTACTATGCCATCATAACAACTGATAAATAAGCTAATTTCCTAAAAGCTTCCTGCAATCGTTTTATATAGTGGAGGAGGTCTGTGGATGCTTTAAGAAAATGTATTTAAAAGATGTAATGTTGAAATAATTAATAAGTTGACAAAAGCTGAAGTTATCAATAATGAAACATTTTATCTAATACTTTAGGCTAAACAATAATAAAACACATTAGGATAAAAAAAAGCAACTACATACACTCACCGGCCACTTTATTAGGTACACCTGTCCAACTGCTCCTTAACTCAAATTTCTAATCAGCCAATCACATGGCAGCACCTCAATGCATTTAGGCATGGTCAAGACAATCTGCTGCTGTTCAAACAGAGCATCAGAATGGGGAAGAAAAGAGATTTAAGTGACTAAACATGGTTGTTGGTGGCCGAAGGGCTGGTCCGACTATTTTAACTGCTGATCTACTGGGATTTTCCCACACAACCATCTTTAGGGTTTACAGAGAATGGTCTGAAAAAGAGAAAATATCTATTGAGCGGCAGTTCTGTGGGCACAAATGCCTTGTTGATGCCAGAGGTCAGAGGAGAATGGCCAAACTGGTTCCAGCTGTCAGAAAGGCATCAATAACTCAAATAACCACTTGCTACAACCGAGGTATGCAGAAGAGCATCTCTGAATGCACAACACAACCAACCTTGAGGCGGATGGGCTACAGCAGAAGACCACACAGGGTGCCAATCCTGTGCGCTAAGAACAGTAAACTGAGGCTACAATTCACACAAGCTCACCAAAGTTGGACAAGAGAGGATTGGAGAAACGTTGCCTGGTCTGATGAGTCTCAATTTCTGCTGCAACATTCGGATGGTAGGGTCAGAATTTGGCGTCACTAACATGAAAGCATGGATCAATCCTGCCTTGGTGTGAGGCTGTGGGTGAGATTTTCTTGGCACACTTTGGGCCTATTGGCACCAATTGAGCATCATGTCAACGCCACAGCCTACCTGAGTATTGTTACTGACCATGTCCATCCCTTAATGACCACAGTGTACCCATCTTCTGATGGCTACTTCCAGCAGGATAACGCACTAAAGAATTAATAATCTCAGATTGGTTTCTTGAACACGATGATGAGTTCTCTGAACTCAAATAGCATTCACAGTCGCCAGACTTCAATCCAATAAAGTACCTTCGGGATGTGGTGGAAAGGGAAATTCACTTTATGGATGTGTAGCTGACAAATCTGCAGCAACAATGTGATGATATCATGTCAATATGGACCAAAATCTCTGAGGAATATTTCCAGTACCTTGTTGAATCTATACCACAGGGATTAGGACAGTTCTGAAGGCAAAAGGGGGTCCAACCTGGTACTAGTAAGGTGTACCTAATAAACTGGCCAGTGAGTGTATATTGCAGAATAAAACAATATTGCAATGTTGTATTTTTCCATTATCTCTAATTTAACCTAATCAACCCTAGTGAGTGTTTAAATTGCACTTTAATCTACTAGTAATTTTAGAAATAGCAAGTATTGTCATCATGGCAACGACTAAATCAAATCAGTTATTAAAAGTAATATGTTTTTAAAATCTCTCTGCTATTTGGTAAATATCTGAAAAACCATTACAATTTCACAGGAAAGCTAACAAGTTTGTCTTCAGCTGTACATTAATCCTTATGTACAGTATAAACTGATTTGATCTCGCATAACCTTCTACAACCTTGGCCAGGTGTTTGGCGATCTCTCGTCCTCTGTAAGCTTCAGGGACCTCCGTGTGCTGCAAATCCACCGTCTTCTTGCCCACATATTCATACAGCAGCACAGCCTTGTCATGGGAGCCTTCCACAAGCAAAGCAACAGACGCAAATATATTAGTCGACATGCAGTAAACAACAAATTTAATGTGTAAAACATAGCCAGTCAGACAAGATACGTGACCGTGCGATGATGTTCGTTTTCAACATATTCCGAGGAAACGGCATCAGAGGGGAGGTGGGTTCTCTCGTGAAAAAGCGTCATTTCTATGAATACAAACCGCTTATTTTCATGCGAAACCCCCTAAGAAACACCTCGTGCCTGTTCCTGTAAACCATCCTGAGGTAATGTGACATAAACGCGTCGACGAGGGCTTATTTTGTACATCCAGAAACCATCGACGATGATGGAACAGGAAGTAGCCAAAAACAAAGTCTGAATGGGATGGTTAGCAGACAGGCTAGCAACTTAGTTAACAATTCATCCAGAAAACAGAAGTAAACAAAGCTTTAATTGAAGCAAAAACCGTGACGAGTGACAGGATAGATTTAAGTTAGTGCGTCAAAACAACGAAAATGTAAACACTCGTCGCGTTAACCCTACAAACTGAAGGGATAGTTCACACAAAACTGAACATTTGGTCATCCTTGTTTCAAGCCTGTTTGGCTATTTTAATTATATCGAACACAAAAGAAGATATTTCGAAGAATGTTGGAAACCTGTAACCATTGACTTCCATTGTTATTTCTACTCAAGAAGTTAAAGTTTTCAGTTTTATTCAAAATAGTTTAATAAACAAGCTAATAAAGGTTTGGAACCATTTAAATTTGCATACATTTGTGTTTTTTGGGGGTTAACCATTCTTTTATAGGTGCCTGCTAAAAGTGTTACAGCAACCCAGGTATTAATAAAGCTAAAACCATAACAAGCTGGTGATAGGGCGAGAAAAAAAATCAGCAAAACAACTAGTTCATGTCAAATTTAATCGAGTATCGAAGCGATATTTATGTAAACAACGGAGTGACGTCAACGGTTTTACCAGAACGGATTTATTTATGGATCATGTTTAGCAATGATGAGAAGTGAGATATAATAAACAACTGGGACATTTTTGCAGGCGAAAGCACGGTGTTTGTCCTCCTCCTCCCCCCGCCACCATCACCACCATCTCGTTATCTGACGCATATAAATACCAATACTGACCGTTCAAACGGATGCTGAATTGTCGTCTCTTCTTGTCGTGCTCCACCCGTAGACGAGTGCTGATATCGAGGACGTTTATCTGTGCAGCCTGGGCCATGTCTGCTGTCGGAGGGGAAGCTGTGTGTGTGTCACTGTGCCACGGCTGATCCTACTGCATTCATGCCTCACCGAGGACAGGACGAACATCTGATCCAGCGAAAACACGCCATCCGCGGAAATCAGCTGTGAAGTCACGTGCTCGTTGCTGACCAATCAGGGAGGACGTGTTGTTTTGGTGCGCGTTCTCTTTAAAAAGTGCCGCTGTTTGGCCGCCAGATGGAGACGCGCGCATGTTTGATGTTCATGCATCTATTTTCCTACAGCTTAGGCTCTATATTCATCAGGGGTCGCCACAGCGGAATGAACCGCCAACTAATACAGCACATTTTTACACAGTGGATGCCCTTCCAGTTGCAACCCAGTACTGGGAAACCCACGCATACACAGTAAGGACATGCAAACTCCACACAGAAATGCCAGCTGACCGAGATATATCCAGCTGCAGGCCCGCAGAACCACACACGTTTGAGGCACACACAATCTAGGACACACAATCTAGGCAAACCATATATGGTAACTAACTCTTTAGCATTATCGCCACCTATTGAATTTCACAAATATGGTTTCCCATTTCAGTCATTATTATTATTATATCGTAACGATCATTTTAACATCGCTGCAGTTTTTGAACTTAAATTATGTAAATAAAAATAATTGGTTAAAGAAACTTATGACTTTATTAATGTGTCCATATACACAAAGAAAACATAATAGACCGTCTAATTGTTGGATTAACTGTAATAAACTAATTCAAGCTCTTAATATTATCATACTTGGTTAAAATCACTTTGTTGTAAAATATAAAAAGCAAACAATAATATGTCACTTTAAAATAAATTAGCCTACTATAGTTAACCATTTAAACAACATATATAGTATATATATATATATATATATATATATAGTTATAAACTGATTATCTTAACTGATTATAATTATAAGTTTATATATAAACCACTATCTTTTACTAAACTGTCACTGTTAAAGGTGTTATGTATGTATGTATATATATATATATATATATATATATATATATATATATATATATATATATATATATATATATATATATGTATATATGTATGTATGTATATGTATATATATATGTGTATATATATGTATGTATGTGTGCGTGTGTGTGTATTTATATATCCACTTATGATTTTTTTATTAATAGTTAATTTGTTCCTATTTGTTTCCTATTACTGTAGTATTAAATTACTACAGTATTAAATGTGGGAAATCATTAATTAATAGGTTATTAGAAAATTAAGCTAATAAACACTATTAAATCGCTTGAGTAAAATATTAATATAGTGTTATACATTTGTTACATGTAAAAAGATTTTTATTACATATAATGTATTATTGCCTATATTAACTTGCTACTATTTCCTTCATCATAGATTAATCCATTAAATAAATAAAACCTGTCCAAATGAGATCATTCAGCAAGGCCAGCAAACGAGTATCTGTCTTATTATTGTCAGATAATAATGACTGATCAGCTGATCAGGTTAAAAACTGTTCACGAATGGCGATCGGAAACAATGCTCCCCATTCTGCCGTCTCAATCGCAGTTTTTGTGAAATAAAGTAAACACTATTTTTTATTGTGTACAATATTTATTAACCATTTATATCAAAATATATCGATGACGATGTCCAAAAAGACGTTATAACTTTAACATCCGTCGTGACCATATATGGTTTGCCTAGATTGTGTGTCCTAGATTGTGTGTGCCTAAAACGTGTGTGGTTCTGCGGGCCTGCAGCTGGATATTATTGGGCTGACCAGCTAGGGCTCGAACCAGCAACCTTCTTGCTGTGAGGCGACAGCGCTAACCACTAACCACAAACAGAGGCGGATTTAACCAATAATCGAGGTAAGTGGTTGCTAAGGGCCCAGGAAATCTGGGCTCCCCAATAAATATCTAGGGCAGGGGTGCCCAAACTTGGTCCTGGAGTGCCGATGTCCTGCAAAGTTTAGTTCCAACCCTAATCAGACACAGCTGGGCTAGCTAATCAAGCTCTTACCAGACTTTCTAGAAACAACCGTACAGGTGTGTTGAGGCAAGTTGAAGCTAGAATCTGCTAGATATACCTATAAACTACATAAAACATTGTTTTCTATCATATTTTGCATGGTGAGACTCAAGCAAATACACAAAAAAACAATGTGTTATTTTTTACTTAACCCAATGGTTGAGTTAAACATATTTAGTGCTTTGTTGTGTTATTTTTAACCTTTATTTGGGTTATTTTTTTAATAACTTCAACAGTTGGGTTACAATTTTTGAATTTCAGCAGTCAACTGATTCAGCTGACACAGAAAAGCTGCATTAATATGTGCACATAATGTTGTTTTTGCATTGTAAAGTTTATTTATGCTCTAACGCAATAATATTGTTCTTTTGATTTTAAATTGACCTCTCCGTGTAGTGTTTTTATAATATTTGTTTCACCAGCACTCTTAATTACTGATGATACAAACGTACGCTTCATAGCCGATCTAAATTAAACAGATAAAAACCCTTAAGAGTCTGGAATTTAAAATGTAATCAAAATAAAGCATTTTTAATATTTTTGAAAACTGCATGTTATTTATTTACACAGACACAATTATAAAATTAATAGTAGTACTAGTAGCAATAGTAATACCAGAATGGAAAAAATGTCCATTTAATCAAAATAACTCAATGCATTAGGTTAAATTATATAACCCAACAATACACTGGGTTAAACATACTCACACAAAGTTGAATGAATAGCTTTATAGCCACACTTTCATTTCCAAAGTTAACAGACTTTGCATAAGAAACAAACACACAGGGGCGGACTTAGCAATTTGGGGGCCTAAGCAATTCCAGGCATGGGGCCCTACACTGTAAAACAATCCTGGTTGCCTTAAATTTTTAATCTGAATCAAATTAACCTTATGAGTCAATTGAACTTAGTTCATGTTAATCTGACTTAAACAGCTTGTGTAACTTATGAAATTAAGTTAGAACCTGATTAACTTAGTTTAATAAGTTACAATGACCTAAAAACATTTACTGCCAGGACTAATTGATCATATATTTTTTACAGTGTAACATTAAACCCAAAACACTCTCTATTGATGTATTTTTTGTCTGTAGACAAATTTTATTTTGTTAATAAATTGCATGTTAAAATATATTTTAGGTTTTCGTTAATATAAAATTAAATTCAGTAAATCCACCATGAAAATAAAAAACATGTTTACAAAGTATACACAGATAACTAGCCATATTTGTGATTAGATTTTAATATTTGCATGTGCAGAAGGAACGTTCCACTATTAATGGGGCCCCTTGTTTTGAAAACAATAACGTTAAAATCGTAATAGTTAGAGACAGATTTTACAATATATGATAGAATATTAACAGAAGAGCTATATGATTACTATAGGCTTCTTGGTATTGGTCAGGGCCCTAAGCAGCTGCTTACCTCGCTTATTGGTTAAGTCCGCCCCTGCAAACACACAACCAAAGACAAACGCTTCAAATCATTACAGCACATCCTGCAAACAGAGGACAGGTTCAAAGTTCGCTTAACATACAGTACATAAAATATCTCAATGGTAAAGACCAACCATTGGAAGTTCCTCAAATAATTGTGACCCTGGACACAAAATCAGTCCCATGTTGCACAGGTTTATTTGGGGATGAGGTTAGGTGGGGCTATTAAAAAGCCTTGCATGCAGCTCAGGTTGCATCTACACAGTCTGCAGCCAGACACCTCTCAGTATGGATCAAAATGATGGACTTTAATATAGTGACGAGTAAGTATATAATAAACAATATGCATCGCTAAGTATTTAATTAGGTGATACAGTGTCTCAGTGGTTAGCACTGACGCCTCACAGTAAGAAGATCGCTGGTTCGAGTCCCGGCTGGCCCAGTTGTTGTTTCTGTGTTGAGTTTGCATGTTCTTCCTGTGTTGATGTGGGTTTCCCTCACATACCCTATAGGTGAATTGAATAAACTAAATTGGCCGTAGTATGTGTGATTGTGTGTGAATGAGTGTCTTTGGGTGTTTCCCAGTGCTGGGTTGCGGCTGGAAGGACATCCGTTGCTTAAAACCTTTGCTGATGGCGGTTCATTTCGCTGTGATGGCCAAAAAAGAAAATGAATAAATGAACTTTTTTAAATTTTATTTCAGATTTTAAAATGGTTGCATCTCGACCAAATATTATCCTATTACAAACCATACACCAATGGAAAGCTTATTTATTGCGATCTTAGATTATTAACTTCAGGAAAGTCACTCTTATGCCTGGTTTTGTGGTCCAGGGTCACAAATAATCTCTTATAGCACCTTGTATATTGCATATTTAATTAGCATATTAAACACTACTTAATTAACAATATATTGCTTTTAGATTTGTGTGTGAATAACAGTACATGATATAAATTGTTCCCAAGTATGATAAAAAATATTAACATGTTAGGAGTGACTCTATTGGCCAGTGTTAGTGTTCAGGCAATCAGAAAAACAAAAAATAGAGTGCATAAGACACAAACATACACATATATTCATGCACACACGTGTACAATTTAAACATGCATTTAAATGCACTGCAAATGTGAAGATGTTTTTAGATAGCTTGACATTGTTAAAGTACACTGTAAACAGTGATTTCTTTTACACTGAAACACATTATTCAATGAATTTACTAAAGAATGTTAAGGTAAAGGATTGTAAACAATTTGTATAAGCTGAATTTAAACAAATTTAGTAATGTTCAACTTAATTTGTTTGTTTGAATTCAGCTTAGATAACTTGTTTGCAACCAACCATTTTTGCAGTGTACTTTACTTAAAAAACGAGTAAACCTGTGACTTCAAATCGACAAGTTGATTTAGGTTCCAAAAGTGAGTAAACCCATTGAAACTTATCACTTATAAGTAGATTTTTTACTTCTATAATTAAGCACAATTCATTTATTTACAAAGGTTAAGGCAATAGGTTTATCTGAATTTTTTTTTAAGTCAACTAATCGTTTCTAAAACAACAGGTTTACTTGCTTACTTTTAGTCAACTAATCATTTTTACAGTGTGCAGTTTACAGCAAGTCATTTGATCTACACAGTCACCATCAATAACAAAAGACCCTTAAAATATCGTCCAAAAGATTTAAAAGACTAAATCACCTAAAAAATGAAATCTCTGCAATCATTTAATCGCCTTCACGTGTTCAAAACCTATTTGATATTCTTTATTAAGTCCAACTCAAAAGAAAATATTTTGACTTTAAAATCATGTTTTCCCTAAGAAAATATTTTGAGATGAAAAACTCATAAAATGTTTTAAATGACATGAGGGAATGTAAAAGGTGAAGATATTTTCATTTTTATGTGAACAATCCTAAAACCAAGATTGTTTGCAACGTACTTAAGAAACATTTTAAGAGTTTAAATGCAAAAACCTCTTCATCTTTCCAACTTGAACATTATTATGTTCAGCAATTTCATTTTAACGGCAATGAAAATAGCATATACTAAAAGTAGAACACGATCTCATGGCAATTCGTAACTTTTAGTGGCCAATTCATAGGAATTTGTACGATCTCATTCGCACAATTTGATATGATTTGCTTATTCCCAATGATGGTTTAGGGGCGGGGTTTGGTGCCACGCCTCCTTTTTAAAATCGTATGACTTAACTCCTACGAATTAGCCACTAAACTGACAAAACGTGTAATAGTGATATAGTTGTTTCCTCATGAGATCAGGCTTAAAAAGTACAATTACTGAACCTAGGAACACAAGAGGCTGAAAAAAGCTCATTTTAGAGGAACATTTCAGACAGTTTTTTCATTTGAACTCTTCAAAATGTCGAAATGGTGGAGTAATTTTCATTTTTTAGGTGAACTATCCCATTGAGGTGATGCATATTTATTTGTCAAAATTGAAAGAGTTTGTAATGCAAAAGAAACATTTGAAAAATTCAAATGCAAAAAGTTTTGCCATATAAAAAATCTTCTAAAATGAGCATTTTTCCGCCTTCCTATATATTTACGTACAGTTATTGTAACTGTTTAATGGCAATGAAAATAGCATATTCTAAACGTACAAACAGGAGGCTGAAAAAGGCGGAAAAAGTTTCTGCAACTCCTAAATCCTTTGGTGTGGCCCGCCATGCCATCTGAAAATAGAGGAAGAATGATGGGGAGTTGGTTGGGGGCGAATGCCTTTGACAGAGACGTCATTTCGAATGGGGTATATGCACACAGACTCTTAAATTTAGTCCGCCAGCGCAGTTAATTTTCATCCCATACAAAATCACCACACTTAAAGTCTGATTATTTAAAAAAACAGCCGTCTTCACAGCCTGGCTGAGATACGATATAAAGTGGTTAATAGACCAAACAAGAAGCACTATATCAAATGATATTTTTCCATGCCATGTCTTTAAAAAATGGAAATAAACTTTACCCCAGTATTTTTAATAGAACTTCTGTGCTAGCTTGCCGCTAATGACGCCGGCTGCGATAAAATGGCCGATCGTTTCTTTTTAAACTTTAACAACCAAATGGATGCTTAAGTCTATTTAACTGATTATATTTGAATTACATTACAACATCGATGCTGTAAAAGGAATCATATAAAGTTAAAAACAGTCACATAAAGCTCTAACCGGAAGTTCATCATTGGCTGAAAAACGCTAGCTGTGCATATACCTTATTGATACCTTTTGTTTCTTTGTTTAATTGAGGAGCTACAAAAAACGTCGCAACACAACTTTAGCCTCAACCTTCGCTTCAACATCAGTTACATTGCTACTATGCCCTGCATCTGTACTTATAGGACTGCACAGCCTTTCAGCTGAATAGTTATGGCCAGGTTCATTGAGGTTCTCACTAGTGGTCTAAAATACTCCTATTTCTACCAAATGATCGTAAAAGTACTTTATAAATAGTTTTTTTCAGAAACTGGCGACTGACCCAAATTTGGAAATGTTCTGCAATTTTGAAAAGATCGTCCTTGCGGCATTTATCAAACTGCTCAAGTGAAGGATCACTGAGAAAAGCTTCCACTTTAGACAATGCCATTTTCGAATCACAAGCTAGTCAGAAGCAAATAGACAAATCAGTAACTCTAATACTACCTCTAGTATACCTCACAAAATTTCTTTGGGCACAAAAAAGAATTGAGTATCCGTAGAACCATGAGAACCATAGAATAAATGTTGGGACGTTAATTTTCCCGGATGAGCCCCCAAATATGTTACGGCCCAAAACCCAAAACTGGCTCGATTAATAAAATCAAGGTTCGAGCCGAACATATGAAAGACATATAATACAAACATAAATAACCAATGCGTGCTGGCACGAAGCACAACTAAAATGAAATGTTGTAAATGATTCAAGACTTTTAAAATGTGAATACTGTCAGTTGACAGATGCACAAGACATCGGCGAACAAATCAAGGCAAAGGCAGCTTGACTAGTGTATTCTGCATTGAACTCCATTGTGCTATAAATGAGATTGTTTATGTTTTTACTATAATAAGTTCATTATAAAACGTTTAAAATTAAACTGCATCATTAATTAATCAGTTTTGAAGGATCGTTTTCTAGTTTTTTTTTTTAAATAATACACAAACAATTTAGGAAACGACCCACGGCAAATTGAATGTAATACGGTTTGGTATCTTTAACTTCGACCCACAGCCCTCAATAAAGTTTGGAAATTGGCCCTTTATAAAAAACGTTTGGGCACCCCTGTCCTAAATGCTTCTTGAGCACATTCCAATCACTTTGTAAATCGTCTCCAATCAGGTCCTCTCCAAAATCTTCCTTAGGGTGTTAACAACGTCCTCACCACTCTTCCAGGGCACCACGCTTGCCTTGAACTCCCCAGGTTTGGCCTCCCCCATCTCCTGGATCAGTTTGTGCATTGGGAAGTCCCGCCTCGGGAAGGCTACATCCCCCGGTGACAGTGTAAGAGACGGGCAAAAGTCGTTGGCCCCGTCTCCCATGTACAAAACCTTCTGATAGGGCCGTCCTCCTCTCTCCCGTATGCGCTGCGCCACGTACTGCCGGACCACCACCGCTTTGCACATGTTAGCTGGGCACCGCAGGCACTCGTGGGAGTGAAACGGGCGCAGCTGCAGTACCCCATTATCATCAAAGTGAGCCGGGTTGGTGAAAATGCGCAGAAACAGCGGCTGGAAGCCCATGTACTGCAGCCACGTCTCTATGAAGACTGTATTGGCGTCAGACACACAAACCACTTCAAAGTCTCTGGATGGCTGTGAGAGCAGGAAATGCATCAAAGCCGGGATGCCTGGACAGGGGGGCAGCTTCTCCACAGTGGCCCGAATGGCCGCCGGAGTGACGCCCTGCTCAGAGAGGTAGGCCAGGACGCGCTGCATGTACTCATTGTAGCGGCCGGGACGGTACGTGTCCTTCAGCCAGCCGGGCAGGACTCCGCCGGGTGCTGCAGACACCATGGAGTCATCACTGCACTCATCCACTAGAGTCTCGTCAAAGTCGAAGAACATCAGGAAGCGGCTGTGGTTCTGCGGGGCTGGAGATCTGCTTCTGCGCTCTGCAGCTGCAGCTCCAGGAGGATGAGGAGGAGAAACACAGCAGTTGAAGACTGAGTCCCGCATTATGATCAGCGGAAAATAGCAGCACTTGTGGGAGGTTTTGACTTTGTTTACAGCTGCTCCTATGCAGATTAAAAAAGTGCAACGCAGTTAAATCTGAACTTCAAGGACAAATGGTTAAAAGAAATGAAAAGGCAGAAGCAGAAAAGAGCAGGGAGGATTTTTTAATTTGATACAGTAGTTTACCCAAAAATGATAATCCTGTCATAATTTACTCACGTTTTACATTTATATACCTTGATACACCTTTATCTTCCTTTGTGCTTAAATTAATAAATGGTTTGTGGTTTGGAACAACCTGTTTGACTTTATTCATTTTGAACAGGAATAAAGATATTTTTAAAGAAAAGAAACCGGTAACTATTGACTTCCATTGTATTTGTTTTTGGAAGTCAGTGGTTAAAGGTTTCCAGCATTCTTCAAAATATCCTCTTTTGTGTTCAACAGAGGAATGAAACTCATTCAGGTTTAAAACCATATGAGGATGAGAAAGAGGTGTGTAAATTTTCATTTTTGGGTGAACTATCTCTTCAAAAAACTATCAGCTTCAATGGCTAATAATTATCTTTGTGGCAAATACATTTAGAATAATACAAATATAATAAATAGCCTACAACTAAATCCATTCAAACAGACAAACAAATAAATACAAGCATTTATCAGATTGTTTATGTTAATATAGAATAAAAAATTTATTTTGTTTCGTAAAAACTTTGCTGATTATTTCTTTAAGTGAGTCCACCTACCATAAGAGTTTTTCTTTTTATTATTTTGCATAACAGATTATTAGTTAGATAACATTTTGGTTATTGATTGATTATTAAGGATAATTATATACACAGTTGAAGTCACAATTGTTAGCTCCCCTTTAATTTTTCTTTTTTTAAATTTTTCCCACATGATGTTTAACAGAGCAAGGAAATTTTCACAGTATTTCTGATAATATTTGTTCTTCTGGAGAAAGTGTTATTTGTTTTATTTTGGCTAGCATAAAAGCAGCTTTTAATTTTTTTAAATCCATTTTAAGATCACAACTATTAGCCCCTTGAAGCTATATAATACCCTTACATGCCTAGTTAACCTAATTAACGTAGTTAAACCTTTAACTGTCACTTTAAGCTGTATAGAAGTGTCTTGAAAAATATCTAGTCAAATATTTACTGTCATCATGACAAAGATAAAATAAATCAGTTATTAGAAATGAGTTATTAAAACTATTATATTTTAAAAAGTGTTGGGAAAAAAAATCTCTCCGTTAAACAGAATTTGGGGAAAACAAATTAACAGGGTGGCTAATAATTCTGGCTTCAACTGACTTACTGACTTACTGACTTACACGCAGGCACGCACACACGCACGCACGCACGCACGCACACACACACACACACACACTTTTTTTTAAGTGTAAATAACATTTATCTAAAGAATCTTTTTCCACTTAAAGACTCAAGAGATTTTGCAATAGAAAGATTCTTGATGGAATCATAAATTTTACATAATATTTCCCCTAAATTTCACATGCGCTTAAATCTATTTAAAATCTTTTACTTTCTTGAGGAATAAAATCTATACACAGAACTGTCTGCTGAATTATAACAGCATTTAGAAAATGTTAGTTCACATTTCAAACCCAAGTAACTAATGTATAGTAATTTCATTCATTAATTTTCTTTTCAGCTTAGTCCCTTTTATTAACTGGGGTCACCAGCGGACTAAACCGCCAACTTATCCAGGAAGAGCATCCGTTGCGTAAAACATATGCTGGACAAGTTCATTCCGCTGTGGCGTTCCTCAGATTAATAAAGGGACTAAGCGGAAAAGAAAATGAATGAATAAATTAAAAAGGATACACTGTCTGTATTACTAATAGAACTTTATTGAAAATTCTGAAAATTGTAGTTCACAGAGCTGACAGTGTAAAATAAGACGCAAGTAACTAAATTTAAGTTAGAATTTACATTTGAAGTGGATCAACATCGTTTTTCAGAATTGCCCAGTAAGACAAGAATGAGTGTTGTAGATTAGTTTTAGGACAGCTTTGATGAAAGGTTTTGATCCACTTCAAATGCTGAATAATCAGACCTTCGACAAAACATCGGCATTGTTGTTTCTTTAAAATATGCCTGTTCTCTTTTTCCTCTCCCTGAATTTGACATTTAAACTCCTGTAAATTATTGATTCATTGCTTGAGAACAGAATTTATACAGGTTTTAAGGTTTGAAATAACTTGAAGGTAAATGAATGCTGAGAGAAAATGAAGAGTTCAGATGCAAAAACGTGTCATCTAAAATGTTCTTCTAATGTTAGCCTTTTTCTCAGGCTCCTTATTTGATTCAGTAATTTCACTTTTATGGCAAAGGATAGGCCATTTTCATCACTTATAACACGAAACAACAACATAAACATAAGAGGTTGAGAACAAATGCTCATTGTAGAAGAAAATTCCAGATGGCTTAGAAGTTTTTGCATCTGAACTCTTCAAATACACTTTTAGGAGAACTATCCTTCAAGAACACCCAGTTCTCTGATTCAGGTCAATGGGATACTGCAGCTTCTGGGACATGACATCTAATGTTAGTGTATAGCAAACCTACAGAATCTCCTGAAACTCACCTGTTTTCACCTTAATCTCGCAGCTGCGCAGTGTTAACCTATAAACAGACAGAAATGACTTTAGATTAACCAAAACTACATTACTCAGAAATGTTTTTAGTACGTGATAACAGCATCGAGAGCACTGGACGTTCATAAATAGTGCGTTTAAAATGAGATAACCGAATAATATCAGGAGAATTTAGAGGACAGAGTGATTTCTTATTTAATGTCGCGCTATAATGGCTTTTGATAACACGCTTCTCTGACCTTGCTTCCACTTTACATGCATTACAGTACCGCACAGATGAGGCAACCGCAGAAACAACCGATTCCTAATTGAGCTAACGTTACCTGGACCAACGTATTTTTTAAATGCGATTTGAAAAATAACAAAGTTGTAAATTATGTTCAGATATTATTAAAAATTATGTAATGTAGGTATAATGTTATAGCCCACTGCAGCCTAGTTAAAAACACAAAAGGTAGAGAGAACACAGTGCTGTCAAGCATCATAAATCAGCGGAATACCTTAAGTTGGGCGTCCAGTTCAGATGTTCATCCCTGCCGACGGCTGTTCTCTGCGTCTGACCGGCTGCGCTGGAGATTTTTATGGAGCCGTGGTGACGCCATTACAGAAGCCCCGCCCACTCATCCATCACTGAACAGCTGAGCTACTGTGCACTGCATGAAATAGCTGTTAATGAACAGTGTCTGTATTTCGTGAATCACAAGTGTTTTCCTTTTATTCCAGGCCCGTAGCTAGGCTGATGAAAAGGGGGGACCTTTTTGCGCTCATTAGTTAAATTTTTTGTTTAAGTATGAACTTTAAATACTGCATTTTAGTGATATTTTAAGCATGTTATTTTCTGTTTCTATATATTGTCAGATGGTCATCAGAACCAAAAACTTTTTGATGTACCAAACATTTCCTTAAAGATTTTGAAAAAAAAAACATACTATAAAGTACAAATACATTATGATTTAACATTAAAAAGTAGGATTCATTATTTTTTATAACTAAAAACTAGCTTATGTTCATGTATAAGGCAAATAACAATCAGGCCAGCACATTCAACATTCAATACATAGAATTTGGTCATTTGAATACACAAATAAATAAACAATAATAAATGTAGAGCTTCACAATTTCTCTAGATTTTTCTCATAAAAACGTTACATTGAAAAACCATGGATAAAATAATTAGTATTGTATTAGTAAAACTAACCTGATTAATATTAACTTTTAATATGGGCGGCATTTGGTGCTTCAGACCCGTTTCATTAATAAGGTCCAAGGATTAGAATAAAAGTTACTTGTAAAAGGTTTTCTCTATTTAAATTACACAGTAGGTCGGTAATGAAGTCTCATGAAAAATAAATGTTTACATTGTCCAAAACTGATTAGCTGAGGTAAGAACAGCCAACAGAGGATTCCACTTGCTCTTAAAGATTTCTTGGACGGGTTATTTTCACACTTTATAATGGAATAGCAGTCAAAATAGGGCAAATGAGATGATGTATGGGATAAACTCTGGACCTTTGTCAGTCTCTGGCTACTCTGTATTTAGGGTTGTGAATTGCATTATGGGATGTTAATCTCTGCTCTATCAAATGTTGTTATTGAAAATTCAACTCTAACATAGTGATGTTTATTGACATTTTAGTAGAATTTAATAAAATTTTTATTTGACAGATTTTAGACCAGGAGTACCCAAACTCGGTCCTGGAGGGCCGGTCTCCTGCAAAGTTTAGTTCCAACCACAATAAGACACACCTGGGCCAGCTAATCAAGCTCCTTAGCTTTCTAGAAACATTAATGCAGGTGTGTTGAGGCAAGTTGGAGCTAAAATCTGCAAGACACCGGCCCTCCAGGAACGAGTTTGGGCACCCCTGTTTTAAACAAACTGTACAAAAATACAAGTATCATATACGTTTGAAATAAAAGTGTCGAGGATAAAAACACAATACAGCCCTGGGCTTGTTTCCGTTGTGGTCCTCGCTGTTAAAAAAAAAAAACTGCAAAAAACAGTTCATGCATAAAGCAAACAGAACCTTCATATTTAAAAACAGGAACACAATTATTCACAATACAATAACATAAAAATCATCACAATCCACCAACTATCCTCATCAAACAACCTTCTTTTGATCCATTTTCTGAAAGTCTTTTATTTCCTCGATCAGTTTAAGTAATTTGTTCCACATGATTGCACTTGGATATAGAAACATATTTTTCCCACTACACTTCTAAATTAAAAAAATAAATAAATATTAAAATCCCAACCCCTAGTACTGTATGAGTGCCTCACCATTTGAAAATAGTTAAACAGAACGACATTAAACATTTTACATATCATTGCTGCTGGAAATGGTGTTAGGGGGGGCTCTAACTGCGGTCTGTGTTGCTCCTAATGCCCCAGTATAGTGAAGGGGACCCTATACTGCTCAGTGAGAACCATCTTTCGGATGAGATGTTAAACCAAGGTCCTGACTCGTTAAAAATCCCAGGATGTCCTTAGAAAAAATTTGCCCACTGGCTTCTTTCCATCATGGCCTCCTAACCATCCCAATATTATAATTGTTTTCATCACTCTATCTACTCTCCACCAATCAGCTGGTATGCGGTCTGGAGCAATATGGCTGCCGTTGCGTCATCCAGGTGGATGCTGCACACTGGTGGTAGATGAGGAGATTCCCCTCAATGTGTTAAGCGCTTTGAGTCTCTAGAAACAGCACTATATAAATGTAAGGAATTGTTGTTGTTATTATTATTATTATTATTATAGTTAACATGCCTATTACTTTTAAAAACTCTTTGTGGACATGTGCCCTAGGATATTTAAATGTTTAAAATTATTTGTACTGATTTATTTTGTGCCTGGCTTTTGCAGTTGTTCCTTTATACTCTGGGAGCAGCTCCTATACCAAAATGAGGAAGCATGATCAAAATGGGGTTGAATCAAAGCTCCTGCCAATAATTAAAGAATGAATGTCCAATAGATCAGCTTGCCTTGCTAACAACCTAAGTAGTTTGAAATAATATCATGTATAAGAAATAATACAGAGAGAAATAAGTCTGTAAACGAACAGAAAATGTACTGGCAGTTTATTACAGGGTTTCTAACACCAATCCAGACTTTAAACTATTAAAATTGTTGATAAAAAAGTCCAAGTTTCAAGGTCCCATAATGCAATTCAAAGGCATAAATAAATAGGTGAACATAAAAAAAATAAACACATGATTCACAAAATATGGAAAACTGCTAATTTAGGGATTTATTTTTTACAGCTGAGACATCACACTCAGACGAGGTACAAACAGAACACTTATACAGGTTGATATGCTTTTGGTTACTTACTAATTTTTTTTTTTAACCAAGCTTCATTTTTAGATAATTGTGCTCCAAGATAAGTGTGCTTATTGTTTTTCATTATTCATCAATATGAGAAATGTTTTGACAGAATTTATAGTTTTTTAGAATTAGAATTTATAGAAGTATAGGTTAGTGATTTCATATTGCTCACTGTTAAAAAATAAAGGATTATGCTGAGATTCATTGTACTTTTGCCTTGTTTCATATTCCCAATAAACATACTTAGAAAAACATAAAACAAAACACAGAGAGCAACATTTAGCCAATACTATGGACTCTACACTGGGTTATTGCTGGGTTATTTTAACTAAACATTGGGTCAAACACAAACGTTGAGCTTAAATCATTTAAGTTCAATAAAACAAATATGCGAATGAATAAATAGCCTAACTTCGGGTTTGTCCATATTTAACCCATAAAAAAACCTGTAAACTGGTAGTTTTTCATATTTTTGTGATTCATGTTTTGATTTTAACTATTTTCTTCTGCTTAATATGCTTTTGAATTGCATCATGGGACTTTAATTTTTCTTCCAACAACTTTTAACCTTGAAAAGTTAAAAAAGTGACTTTTATCAACATTTTTAATAATTTAAAGTGATATATCGTCTGGGTTGGTGTTGTAAAATATAGTACAAAAACCTTGTAATAACCGCCAGTACGTTTTGCTATTTTACATACTTATTTCTCTAGATATTATTTCTAATACATTATTTAAAACTACTAAAAATGTCAATAAAAGTCCCTTTGTTAAACTGTAAAGGTGAATTTTCAACATCAAAAGTCGACAGAGCAGAGACCAAGCTCCCATAATGCAATTCACAACTGTAAATAAACGAAAATCTCTAAATACATTAAATAAATAACTGTTAATTAACAAAAATTAAGTTAACATCATTTTTTTAGTCTATTAACACTTGACTTAATAAAGATAATAGAACACACAAGACATGTAAGGGACAAGTGTAACTGTCAATACGGTGAGTAAAGCCCGCCTTCTAATACAGGAGCCAATCAGTAATCGCTATAGAATGACAATTCTTTGTTGGCGGAGCTCGGACAGACGTGAGTTTCTGCAGATTTTGTGTGATACGAATATTTAGAAACGAAACTCAGTTCCATATTTCCTTATTCCTAATATGAAATGTAATTGTAATCTTGTCAAGTAGTTTTAGAAAATTTGATGTTTACCCATTCAAACAGAAACCCGAGCATACTGCCCGAGAGGCTTTTTAAAGATGGCCACCGAGTGAAGTGACTTAATTCAGTGGTCAATACTTAAGCCTCTGGCAGTGAATGTAACTCAAAACTGGCTTTTTCACTTCATAGGAATTTGGCAGGTTTTGGCTGTTTTTAAAAAATGAAGATGGTCCTAAAAACACCTGCTGAGTTCACAAATATGCACCAAACACGCATGTGAAAATAACCTAGCGCAAAAATTTGACATGACACCCAAACCAGATCTTTCAGAAAGCTTGTTTTTGAGGTGGCAAACTCAAATGTGTAATTTAGATCTGAATTGAATGTTCTCACTCGATTTTCTGTTGTCATCCATCTACATGGTTAATCAGCTATAGATTACATTCAGCTGTGCGACCGGAAGTTAACGAGAATTATTTCTATTGTTTATTAAATTTTCCATTAATTGTATTGTATTAATGTCTACCCCAACTCTAAACCCAACCATCACAAAAAATGTAAAACAGATCTGAATCTGGAGTCTTCTTTATTAGTATAGCTGATTAACCATGTGGATATATGATAACATCCTTCAGAGCCTACAAGTAGGTGCAAAAGGCCCCTACTGGTGCATATCTATCAGATGATAACCACTGATAATGTTATTTTACTCCAAAACAACGACATTTTGCTGTAAAGATACATCCAAGATATACACATGACTTTCTTACTTTGGTAGAATAAATAAATAAACATTTTTTTTTTCTGAAACTATGTCCTTGGTGCACATTGGGAGTCATAAAACAAACAAACAGGCAAAACTAAATTAATTCCTGTGGATATCAAGGCCTGCAACCTTTATTATAATATTTTTTAGGGGGTGTGGGACTGACTGCCTCTATGTTTATACAAAAATAAATTTTTCAGTACGAGAGTGAGTAATTTTGCACTAAATAATTGTACTTATGCCTAATTATATTTTTCGTTTAACCGTTTCCTTAAAACAAGCTCAAATGGCATTAAATTAATTTTTATAGCAACTTTCTATAGCTGCACAAATGGACACGCAGTTTATTATTTCCGAGGAAACTGAAAATAGAGTTTTATACATGTGGAATATCCATTGTGAGGTTAAAGACCGTGTCAATACCAGCGTTAAAAGTGAAGTGCTTTGCAATATGCATTTTTATTCAATGTTTGACATAATCTCCACCAAAACATGAAGTGGGATGTGGTGTAGCTCCTCCCTTTAAAAAAAACAAAAACAGCCAATACATTTTGTTTCATCACAGCTCTGCCAGAGTTGAGCTCAAAGGCATCAAATGAAAAGCCAATGAAAAGCGTCTTGAAGGGGGCGGGGCATGTGAGACACTAGAGAGTCTTTGATTGGTTATGATTTAATGAGGAACTGTAGTATGGATTGAGGTGAATAAAACTGTTGATCCATTTAGGCGGAAATGACAAACTACAAGCTTTACATGTTTATATCAGTTTTAGATCTTCTTAACGCATATTTTGTCATTGTTTTGAAGCACACTAGCTTATAGATATCTTAAACATTAACAATACTGATACTAATTTTAATTTCATAGGACCTTTAAGTCATGTAAGAGCATCTTGTTCCTCAGTTCCTTCTCTAGAAGCACTAATGACAGCCTGTTAAAAAACTAGAGACTATTCTGGGTAAGAGTGGAAAGTGACCTGGTGTGTCATTATCAACATCCATAAACACAAAGAGTCTTGATACTACTCATGCAAGTCTGTAATGAACAGTTCAACGTTCAAATTAACGTTTCTACATGTCTTTTTGGGGCAGAGTATACTGAGAATAAAGACTTGATTTATTCGTCAGTGTGTCTGTCAGCGGAGTTGTACACTTAAATATACACTCTTGACATTTGAAAAATGATGTTTGCTGTTTGTTCAAGCTACTTATTTAATATGAGGGGAAACAACACAATTCTTGAGGTCTTTTTTTTTGGAACAACATAATTTTTTATGCTCAATCGACTTAAATTTGTAAAAACTAGCAAGCTAACTTAATTCATTCATGTTGTCCCAACACAAATTGATTGTGTGGAACCCAGCAGATTTCACAGTGTATTTCCAAAGAGAGCTGGAAACAATCAACTTAGATAGCATGAAAAAGCAAATACTTTGGAAGTAATTTTCAGCTTTCTTTAAAACATCTCATTTTGTTTTTAACAGCAGATAACTTTAAAACCACTTGAGGCTGAGTAAATAATTTTTTGGGTGAATTAACCCTTTTAACTTATCAAACGCATGACATTGTATGCAAATATCTTCTGTTTTAATTTTAACAGGGTCCAAGGCACCACTCAATGATGCAATCAGCAAAACAATCACTTGCTTGGATTTGTAATTTATCTACACCCCAAACACATTCTTGTTTTACACAAAGGTAATCCCATTTGCATGTAAATGAATTAAAGTGTAACATTTGTCTTAAATTATAAGCCTGTCACGATATCTATTTTTTGTAGTACGATATATAGCACCAAAATGTATCGCGATAAACAATATTATTGCCATTTTAGGACCATCTCAACACTGTAATAGCATCATAATGCGAGTACACTTTTCCAAAAAACACATAATATTTGATTCTTAAGAATATTTCACTTTAAGAGTTCACACTTACCTGATGATTGATTATAAAGCTTGTTTGGCATGCTGTCCCGGGAAAGAGCCCTGAGCTCAGAAGATCCTCGAGCGCGGGCAAGGCGAGAGGGGAGTTTGAGCTCAGGTAGATCTCCAGAACTCCCCTGCTATAGTAGCTAAAAAAACAGCTAATGATTGCTCTTAAGAGATAACTACTTACTAGGAGCATGTCTATGGTGGCATTTGGATTAGTCAATCAACTTAGGTTGCATGTTTTTGGACGGTGGGAGGAAACCGGAGAACCCGGGGGAAACCCATGTGAGCACGGGGAGAACGTGTAAACTCAGCACAGAACTGTCAACTGGCTTGGTAATGACTAGAACCAGTGACGTTCTTGCTTTGAGGCAACAGTGCTAACCACTGTGCCACCATGCCACCCATCTAGGAAAGGAGGAGGAGTAGGGGTGGAAGGGGGGATTCTTCAAAACAAAGATGGCTGTCATATGGAACTTAGGAAATTTATAGTGGCTTAGGAATCGTCTGATTGGTGAATCGTAAATTGAATAATGTGGGGCCGCCTGCAAGCAATCATAAGCACATGATCCTCTCCGAATTAGTTTATAAATAAAGTTTGCTCAATTATAGTAATTTAAATCATTTCATGATTAGGCATTGGAATCGGAATGTGAAAGCGAATATCCTAAATAAATAATAATAACAATAAACTGTAAGGCAAAAGGAAGAAGAGATATTGACACCGACAGCTCTAATAGAGATTGGATCAGCTAAAATGTGGCTAGAATAGTTGTATGGGTGATATACAGCGGGGAAAATAAGTACTGAACATGTCACCATTTTTCTGAGGAAACATAATTCTGCTGGTGCTGTTGACTTGAAATTTTTCCCAGATGTTGGTAACAAACACAAATATCCATATATGCAAATAAAGCTAATCTAATTAGATTACAATGTAAGTTATGTGTGATAAAATGAAATGATGTCTGGAAAAAGTATTGAACACATGAAGAAATGGAGGTGTAGAAGTATATGAAATGCCCAGACAGCAGCTGAAATCTCTCAGTAGTTATTCAGCAACCCTCTGCTCTTTCTCAGTATAAATGAATATTAGCTGCTTCAGTCCAACATCTACATTACATAGATGAAGATGAAACCAGAGTGGACATTTCAGCAAGACAATCATCCAAAACGCAGCCAAGGACACTTTCAAATGCTTTCAGAGAAAGAAGATCAAGCCGACTTGAATCCAATAGAGATTTGATAGACGTAAGCCACAGAACCATCAAGATTATTACACTCTGTTGAAGTCTGTGAAAAACTCATGTGACTTCATTCTCCATATGAAAGGCGTCTTGAAGCTGCCGTCACCAAAAAAGCCTTTTATATAAAGTATTAAACACCATTTCGGCAGTTCAGGACTTTCTCCTTGTGTCATTTCACTGTTATTACACATAACTCATTATTCAGATTTTGTTGTTTTATTTTTATGTTTGTATTGTTTGGATTTTTAACAAAATCAGGTTCAATTCCAAATCAAAAGCGCCTTTAGATTATTATTATATTATTCCCAGAAAAAAAAAAACATGACATGTTCAATACTTATATTCCACGCTGTAGATTGCATCACCTAAAATGATTGCGAAGAGGTCCATGTGTTGTGCGATAAGTCGATATATTGATTATTGTGACGGCCTACTTATGATTAAAAATATCTATAATTCAAGACTAAACCTGAAGGAAACTGCATGTCTAATCGCAGATTTCACTACTAGACTAAACAAGGTCAGTGTATGAAGAGATTGAGGTCATAATGAAACCTTGCAAAACGCCCCACTTTTATGGCTCTCTCACACACACACACACACACACACACACACACACACACACACACACACACACACACACACACACACACACACACACACACACACACACACACACACACACACACACACACACACACACAAAATGTAGACAATTGGCTTGTGGCTAATTCAATGTTTACTTCTTTAAAGTTAGCAGAAAGTGTTAAATGAACAATATATATATATATATATAAAAAAGGCCCAACATTAATGCAACACATGGCGTCTCAAACAGGACAAATGATATAAAAACAGAAGGTCAGAGGTTTCTGTACCAGACACAATGCCAAAAATAAAACTGAAGCTGTGGCTGAGAGAGATTACACTGAAAAAAATTATTTTATCAATTTTTAAAGGTTTTTTAAGGTAAGTGGTTGCAAACAATTTGTACGAGCTGAATTGAAACAAATTAAATTTAGTAACGTTTAACGTTGTTTGTTTAAATCCAGCCCATATAAATTGTTTGCAACCACTTACCTTAAAAAAATGATGTAAATCATCAAACTGAATCATTTTTTTTTCAGTGTAGCTGAGGAGAGACTGGATTAAAACACCTCACGAGAATAAGCACGGTTATGGTCGGCTTATTATTTTCATATCTAGCAAGGTTAATTAGAAAAAGTGCATTCTATCATCAACTGACGGAGAATGGAGAGAATCAAGCGACGAGGAGAGCTCAAACTATATATTGCATTAATGATTGACAGCCGAATGAACCAATGAGAGCACTTCTTGAGTGAAAAAGGGGCGGGACATAACAATTATAAACTTGACTCAAACAGAATCTCACAATTCGATTCTCCCCATTTTCCAACAGCCAGCCAACTTTCACATGTCAGGCATGTGATGAACATTTCTTTGTCAGTTGCGCAAACCTCTTACTTGGCAGTAAAGTGCAGAGGACAGACGGTCTAATGAGAGAGAGAGAGAGAGAGAGAGAGAGAACAAAACAAAATACAATCAATCAAACAATCAATGGAGTCTGATTGACTCAAGACTTTCGATCACTTTATCTGTGCTGCTCCTAACGACAATATATTTACACACAACCGACACTCGCTCAATCAATCAAACGCATCTGCATGATAAAGATCCATGTACCAGGAGAACTAAAAAGCAGCTTTTGATACCACACACACACACACACACACACACCTTTCCTACATTCGGTTGAATTCATGATCAAAACACAAACTCTTCCAAGCAATCACACAGATTCTCGCGCATCTCACGTCAACAAAAACGAAATCTGGCGTCCATTTTAAAAAGTCTCACAGAGCATCTACTTTATACAAATAAACATATCGGTTAAGTGAGTTAGATCATATTGAACATACAGTAAAACAAATGTTTTTTACCTTTTCCCGCCATTCCTATGACACATCACAGCATTGGTCTTCCATAACAGTCTCAACCTCCGACCCAACACGGCGGAGAGCTACAGGCATTCCCCAGTACGCATAATTTTTTTTTAATCTTACAACCAATAAAGAAAAATGAAAGAAAGAACAGGAAAGGTTTGAATAAAATCACCAACAACCACAATCAGGCGACAAACAAACAAAAGAAACCAACGTTCAGTCATACGGACTACACTGAGTTTACTGCTTAAGTGCTGTAGACTATGACGACTACTGTTCACCATGTAGAATATGAACATTTTCCATTGTAGGGAAGACCTGCATTTCTAAAAGAGAGAGAGGTTAAACTGCATTTTGTTTTGAAATGTAGACCTTTTGTGAACCCGTAGAACCTTTGCGAGAGCAGCTGAGTTGATAAAGAGTCAGACTTGTTTGTGGCATTGAAATCCCAATGACACACTGTTATTTTGATCGTTGGGAAAGTGAGGTGAATCCGGATAATGCTTTTCAGACGTTTGTGTTTGTGTCCTTGAGATCTAATAATCCTGTTTGGTCACGAGTGCTAGTGGCGAGTAGCTTTGTAGTATCAGTTTTGTATTACGCACACACATTAACATTGAGTTCCAGCTTTTATTATGGTAATTAGGTGTCCCTCCACCTGATTTCACAGTACTTACAGAGTTGTTGTGTTTCAGTGGTGTGGAGCGCTGCCCTGCCGCAGGTATGAGTCCTCGTGCGCGCAGTGGTTAATCGGCTCGCTCTTGAACAGGGCGGGAGGCGGAGGCAGGACTGAAGGCTGGACTGTGATTGGCTGAGGGGCGTGGCTTGTCATTGGGGCGTGTCCTGTGTGATGGACAGGGGTGTGGGAGTGGTGTGTGGGCGTGGTCTGCATGTGTAAGTGAGTGAAGCTGTGAGCGGTGACCGCTCTTTGCGGCAGTGGTCCGCTCACTGCTGGACTGATCATTACTGAGCCTACTGGCATCGGCTGAGCAGCCTGGGAAGGGCTAGGGGTGTGGCTTGATGAAGGGGCGTGGCCTGTGAGGTGTATAGGAAGGGTCATGGTGGTGGGCTGAAGGCTCACTGGGCTGGTGACCCGGAAACACTTCTCTCGGTGTGCTTTGAGCATGTTGGAAAAGCGGAAACGCTGGCCGCAGATTTCACATGGGTATGGTTTTTCCCCGGTGTGTGTTCGCCGGTGCCGCTTCATATTGGGCCGACTGGTGAAGCTCTTCCCACAGATCTCACAGATGAACGGCTTCTCACCTGAATGGAGACAAGAGAAAATATCCTTCTTTCATTCGCTGGCAGTCGTTGCATGTTTAAAGCCTGGGGTGTTGTTGCAGAGAGCATTTGGGAGTGTTTTACCACAGGGGTTTTACTGTGTCTGCTAGAACGTTAGACCTAACCAACTGGACCAACTGGAAGAGACGCATAAACCATCAGAAAGACTGAAATTACACATGTGGAAGAGCCACTCAGGCACTCTAAAAATATAAATAAACGTGATTTAAGTAACGTTTTTCTTTAAAGAGGTTTTTTAAGCCATATCTTATTAAAAACATATACAGTTAAAGTCAGAATTATTCGCCCCCCCTTTGATTTTTTTTTTCTTTTTGAAATTTTTGCTAAATGATGTTTAACAGAGCAAGGAAATTTTTCACAGCATGTCTGATAATATTTTTTCTTCAAGAGAAAGTCTTACTCGTTTTATTTTGGCTAGAATAAAAGCAGTTTTTAATTTAAAAAACAACATTTTAAGGTCAAAATTATTAGCCATACATTTTATCTGATAATCTACGGAACAAACCAACATTATAACTTGCCTAATTACCCTAACCTGCCTAGTTTACCTAATTAACCTAGTTAAGCCTTTAAATGTCTCTTTAAGCTGTATAGCAGTGTCTTGAAAAATATTTAGTAAAATATTATTTACTGTCATCGTGACAACGATAAAATAAATGAGTTATTTGTGATGAGATATTAAAACTATTACGTTTAGAAATGTGTTGAGAAAATGTTCTCTCAGTTAAACAGAAATTGGGGAAGAATAAACAGGGCGGCTAATAATTCAAGGGGGCTAATAATTCTGACTTCAACTGTATTTTTGAACAGATGTTATTGAACCAAATCACAAGCGTTCATCCGAGATACTTTACTTGGTTATACATACATTGATATTAGAGCTGTGGCATAAAAAAAAAAGTTTCGTTATTGATTCTGAGGTTTTCGAAATATCGCTATTCACTCTTGAACTGATACTGAGCTTAGTTTTAATAGCAGATTGCGCTCTGCTTGTATCCAATTCCACACAATCAACATTGAAAGCTAAAATAATCATTAATAAAGTTAGGACAGGTAGAATCCAGTTTAAAGAGTGTTTATAGTGAGCTGTGTTCACATTAATCTCATGACATAAAATCCAATTTACATGAGCCTAACGCACAAGCACTGTTCCTTGTGACCATTTGTGTGTACAGTAAAAAAAAAAATCATAGAGCAACATCTGCTGTTTAAACTAGCCTAGAGCACCATCAATTTGCTGTTAAAAACAAGCATACAGAAACATCTGCTGTTAAACTAGCCTAGAGCAACGTCTGCTGTTTAAACTAGCCTAGAGCACCATCTGCTGTTACAAACAATAATACAGCAACATCTGCTGTTAAAAACTAAAACTAGCCTAGAACAACATCTGCTGTAATAAACAAGCATAGAGCAACATCTGCTGTTAAACTAGCCTAGAGCAACATCTGCTGTTAAAACTAGCCTAGAGCAAAGTCTGCTGTTAAAACTAGCCTAGAGCACCATCTAGTGTTAAAAACTATCCTAGAGCACCATCTGCTGTTATAAACAAGCATAGAGCAACATCTGCTGTTAAAAAACTAAAACTAGCCTAGAGCGCCATCTGCTGTTAAAAACTATCCTACAGCGACACCTGCTGTAAAAAAAACAAGCATGGAGCAACATCTGCTGTTAAACTAGCCTAGAGCAACGTCTGCTGTTTAAACTAGCCTAGAGCACCATCTGCTGTTACAAACAATAATACAGCAACATCTGCTGTTAAAAACTAAAACTAGCCTAGAACAACATCTGCTGTAATAAACAAGCATAGAGCAACATCTGCTGTTAAACTAGCCTAGAGCAACATCTGCTGTTAAAACTAGCCTAGAGCAAAGTCTGCTGTTAAAACTAGCCTAGAGCACCATCTAGTGTTAAAAACTATCCTAGAGCACCATCTGCTGTTATAAACAAGCATAGAGCAACATCTGCTGTTAAAAAACTAAAACTAGCCTAGAGCGCCATCTGCTGTTAAAAACTATCCTAGAGCGACATCTGCTGTAAAAAAACAAGCATGGAGCAACATCTGCTGTTAAACTAGCCTAGAGCAACGTCTGCTGTTTAAACTAGCCTAGAGCACCATCTGCTGTTACAAACAATAATACAGCAACATCTGCTGTTAAAAACTAAAACTAGCCTAGAACAACATCTGCTGTAATAAACAAGCATAGAGCAACATCTGCTGTTAAACTAGCCTAGAGCAACATCTGCTGTTAAAACTAGCTTAGAGCAAAGTCTGCTGTTAAAACTAGCCTAGAGCACCATCTAGTGTTAAAAACTATCCTAGAGCACCATCTGCTGTTACAAACAAGCATAGAGCATCTGCTGTTAAAAACTAAAACAGGCCTAGAACATCTGCTGTTGAAAAACTAGCCTAGAGCACTGTCTGCTGTTAAAAACTTTCCTAAAGCTACGTCTGCTGTAAAAACTAGCCAATAAAAACATCTACTGTTAAAAACTAAAACTAGCCTAGAATGACAGTTGCTGTTAGAACTAGCCTAGAGCGCCAACTGCTGTTTAAAATTATCCTAGAGCGTTATCTGCTGTTTAAAATTATCCTAGAGCGCCATCTGCTGTTAAAAGCTATACTAGAGAATAGTCTAATGTTAAAACCTTGCCTAGAGTAAACCTAGCCTTTTCTGTAAAAAACTAACCTAGGGCTTGGTTTGCTGTTAAAAACGTTCCTATAGAACAGTCTGCTGTTAAAAACTAGCCTAGAGCGCCATCTGCTGTTAAAAACAACCCTAGAATGCCATCTACTCTTAAATACTAGTCTAGAGCGCCATCTGCTTTTAAAACTAAAACTAGCCTTGAGGGTCACCTGCTGTTTAAAAAACTAGACCGCCATCTGCTGTAAAAAAAAGATAGCCTAGAGCCCATCTGCTGTTAAAAACTATCGTAAAGCACCATCTGCTGTTAAAAACAGTGAATTGATTTCTTTGATAATTGTGCACCACAGTTCTAGTTCAAATGCATCTCTTCTGACTGCTTGTTTGGGGATCTCATTAAGTCGCCACAGCGGATTGAACCGCCAAGTTATCCAGCATGTTTTACACAGCGGATGCCCTCTTAGCTGCAACTAAGTGTGTACCAGTGTGTAATACCATTAAGAGAACTATAGCCTGGTTTATACTTCTGCGTCAATTGACCGGCGTAACCCATGGCGCATGCAACGCGCGTAGCTGTGCATTTATACTTCTGCGCGCTGTCTCTGTAGGTCTGCATTAACACTCCCGAAACGCTAGTTAGCAGTGAGGTGTAAATGTTCCTCTGTGTCGAGTTTCTTCGCTGTTGTTTTGCTTTTCCTGAACACTTCCGGGATGTACAAGTGGCTCAAACTCGCTCATTTTGAGGCAGGAACCGGCAGACGTGCAACAACTTTAACTATGAGGGAAACACAAAACAAAACTTTCCATCCGGAGCTCCTTCACGGGACTCCACACTTGTAACCAATCGCTCCATTGGGCTAGCGCCACTCACGCGGTTCTCGGTCCCGCCCAGACTCGTTAGCGCTACCAAGCCGACCAATCACAGAGCTTCACTAGCAATTGCACAATCATGTACATCTCTATTACTCTATTACAGTTATTGTGAACTTAAGTATCAAAACACACAGCATGCGGTAAAGGGTGATGTGGATATGTGTGATTACATTAGCCAACAAAATCAGTGATGCATTCATTTCAGCCTAAGGTAAATGAAAGTCTTTTTTTAAAGGATTGAAAATCCTTTTAAATAAGCTGAATAAACATATGATGTTATATTAAATGAATACTATGGGCCATATATTTACAACATGTTTGTGTTGGTCTGGATATCAGAATATATGGATATAATGCAACGTCTATATTAAAATTAAAATTGTTCCAAATATTAAAGAAATTGTGTTTTATTCATTCATCATTTTCATCATTTATCTCATTTAAAAAGGTGACCAGGCCTAGAGGTCTGCAGCACACGACTTGTTTGTTGTTATTATTATTTGGCCTTGCACATGCTTGAAATGGTGCTTTTTACAGAGACCATTAGGTTTATCTTTTTTGTTATCATAATTCATTATCATTTTAAGCTTATCCAAATGTTTTTGGGGCGCCACAACAGATAAGAATATTCATTATAATCATGAAGTTCAAAATATTTGTGAAAGAGCAAAAAGGCCAGTCTGTTCTCTCTATAGTCATGTAAACGTAATGGGCCACTGTGTTTGTTTTTGCAGCTCACCTGTGTGTGTCTTCATGTGCTCGTCGAAATACTGCTTCATGTTGAAGTCTTTGCCACACCACTGGCACATGAACTGCTTGTGTCCGATGTGGATGCTCATGTGAGAGCGCAGCTGGTATTTGTACTGGAACCTCTCGTCGCAGTTCTACACACACAGAAATAGACAGCGTGTGGGTGGATGCCGCTTCTGCCTTCAAATCTGAAGCAGACTGAGGCAATCCCAACGTTGCAATATGACCATAATAACCCGTCATTACTGTTCATACGCCTGTCATTAACATACTATTTATAGGAATCAGGCCAATCCCACTCATTCAGACTCTCTCACTCCGCACCCTGAAGGGAAACCAATGTGCCACACCCGGACCACCCTCACAAGACCAACACCCCAGTGTGCATTTTCATAAAAAAAAAAAAAAAAAAAAAAAATATATATATATATATATATATATATATATATAAATAAATAAAGCGTTTTATATATAAACTTATGCGTTTAAAAGGGGAAAGAAACCCATAAGTTTGGAACCACTTTCATTAACTAACAATGACAAAGATGGATAAATCCCGTTATAAATGTTCATTGTTTGTTCATGTTAGTAAATACTTCACTAATGCAATGTCATTGTAAAGAGTTACAAAAAAAATCTGTTGAATCTAGTAAATATTTTGTCATGTCATATTTATACATTTTATTCATTTTACTCTGACAATACAGTCAAACAGGCTGTATGAGGCTTCTAGAACTAAAAACTCCATTGGAATGATGTATAGAACAACAACTACCACAACTACTACTACTTCTGCGAATACTTTTACTACTACTACAACTATGACAACTACTACGATTACAACTACTTCTGCGACTACTTCTACTACAACTATGATTACTACTACAACTACTTCTGCAACTACTTCTACTACTACTACTATAACAATGACTACTACTACTACGACAACTACTACGGCTACTACTACTACTTCTGCAACTACTTCTACTACAACTATGACTACTACTACTTCTGCAACTACTTCTACTACTACAACAACTACTATGGCTACTACTACTACTTCTGCGACTACTTCTACAACAACTATGACTACTTCTGCGACTACGACAACTACTTTGACTACTACTACAACTACGACTAACGTGACTATTTCCACTACTACTATGACAACAACTATTACTACTACTACTTAATATCAGAGTTGCCTCAAGACTTCTATCTGCCCACGTGTAATACTACAAATAACTTAACTGAGTCAGTCTCCCTAGACTGTTATAATATAGACCTCCCTACAACAACAATTCCAACAACTACAACTACTACTAAATATCAGAGAGTTGCAGCAAGATTTAGATCTGCTTATGTGTGTGGGCAATCAACAGCATCTTTAACGATGAAGAAAACAAACAAATCATTTATCTGGTTTGATGAAGTGCTTTTCTAAAACTAACGCTATAATGTTACCTATATTTGGCCAAATTACAGCTAAAATAGCAGCCATTTTTCCACAATTATGGTTAAAAATGTATGTTTATATAACATAGACCTCCCTACAACAACAACAAAACCGACAACAACAACAACTACTACTATTATTACTACTTCTACTACTACCACAACTGTGACTACTACTTCTGCAACTACTTTCACTACTACTACAACTATGACTACTACTGTGACTATGACAACTACTACGACTACTAGGACTACTACTACTACTACTATGACAACCACAACTATTACTACTACTACTTAATTTCAGAGTTGCAGCAAGACTTCCATCTGCCCACATGTAAAACTACAAAATGACTTAACTGTGTCACTCTACCTAGACTGTTATAATATAGACCTCCCTACAACAACAACAAATCCAACAACAACTACAAACCCAACAACAACTACTACTACAACTACGACTACTACTACTATGACAACTATTACGACTACTAGGACTAATACTACTACTACTAATTGTGTGACTACTACTACTACTACCCTAGACTGTTTTAATATAGACCTCCCTACAACAACAACAAACCCAACAACTACAAATACTACAACAACAACAGCGACTACTACTTCTGTGACTACTTTTACTACTACTACTACTACAACTACCAACAACAACTACAAACCCAACAACAACTACTACTACTACTACAACTACGACTACTACTACGACTATGACAACTATTACGACTACTAGGACTAATACTACTACTACTAATTGTGTGACTACTACTACTACTACCCTAGACTGTTTTAATATAGACCTCCCTACAACAACAACAAATCCCAATAACTACAAATACTACAACAACAACAGCGACTACTACTTCTGCGACTACTTTTACTACTACTACTACTACTACTACTATCACAACTACTACTACAATGACTAACAACTACTACAACTACTGCTACCACTACTACTACTAATTGTGTGACTACTTCTACTACTACTACTACTACTACCCTAGACTGTTATAATATAGACCTCCCTACAACAACAACAAACCCAACAACAACAACAACTACTACTACTACTACTACTACAACAACAACTGCGACGACTACTTTTACTACTACTACTACAACTACTACAACTACGACAACTACTACGACTACTATTACAACCACAACTATTCCTACAACTACCACTACTTAATATCAGAGTTGCAGCAAGACTTCGATCTACCCATGTGTAAAACTACAAATGACTTAATAAAGTCACTCTCCCTAGACTGTTATAATATAGACCTCTCTACAACAACAACCCCAACAAAAACAACTATTACTACTACTACAACTACTACTTAATAACAAAGAGTTGCAGCAAGATTTCGATCTGCCCATGTGTGTGGACAATCAACAGCATCTTTAACAATGAAAAAAACAAACAAATCATTTATCTGGTTTGATGAAGTGCTTGTCTAAAACTAACGCTATGATGTTACCTATATTTGGCCAAATTACAGCTAAAATAACAGCCATTTTTCCTTAATTATTCTTATTATGTATGTTTTAGTAATTTTTATGTCTCCACAGTACACAGGGAACTGAAAGGCCAAAAGTATTATTCAAGACGAAATTTGAGAGAAATTTGAGAATGATTTGTGTAATTTGTATATGAGCAGCTTTTTTTAAAAATCTATTAAAGTTAAACCACACTGAACTAAACTGAACTGAACTTCAACTCTGAAAGCTGGGCTGACAGTTCAAACTTCTATATTGACACAATCTAGATTGTAAAAGTGCTATAGAAATTAACATGAATTAAAGTTTTTTTGGTGCGGGCGATGCGGTGGTGCAGTAGGTAGTGCTATTGCCTCACAGCAAGAAGGTCATTGGTTCGAGCCTCGGCTGGCGTTTATGTGTGGAGTTTGCATGTTCTCCCTGTGTTTGCCTGGGTTTCCTCCGGGTGCTCCAGTTTCCCCCAAAAGTCCAAAGACATGTGGTACAGGTGAATTGGGTAAGCTAAATTGTCCATAGTGAGTGTGTATGGATGTTTACTGGTGGTGGGTTGCAGCTGGAAAGGCATCCGCTTGATAAAACATTTGCTGGATGGGTTGGCAGTTCCAAGATTAATAAAGGGACTAAGCTCAAAAGAAAATGAATGAATGAATGTTTTTTGGTGTGTTGTTGTACTAAGTTTTGTGGTATTTGTTGTTTAGTAATTTATTGCATTGCAATGTCAACGATGGCAAGTGAGTTTCCCCTCACAGGGATTAATAAAGTCCACTATTACTGTTAAAGCTGGAACTGATATTTAAATGCGAACAAGGAAAAGTCAGCAAAGCTTTAAAAATCAAATATGTATTTAAGCCCAAACGCACAGAGACTCTCCTCACAGACTGACAAACCTTTTAAAATAGCTTATTCAGTCCTGCTCATGTAAATGAAGCAAAACACACCAGCAAACAAACACAACAAACTAAAAACACTGCCTTTATTCCCTCTCCTATTCAAATATACAGAAATACAGTGTTGTTTGTTCACGTAAACATTCTCTGGGTGGACGTTTTACACTATTTACCAAAAACAAACTCAAGCAAATATGGAGAGGCTGGAAAGGCACACATTTACGAATATAATTATCATTTTAATATTGTGTGTTTAATACTCTAGCGCTATTTAGAAATGTGTTTGAGTTTTCAAATTGCACATCAGTCCCATTTATTTACGAACTAAATAAAACACCACTGAAGATTTAAAAAAACAGCAAACGATTAAATCCACAAATGATTATTCAAGATGGGAAGAGCATGTTGCCAGTTGAGGAGGCTGTAATAGCTGGATCACGGTTATGGAAAAATCTGTGGCATAAGATTAAAATGGCCCCTTCCCTATGCATTTTTTTACACCACTTTTAAAAAAAATCACCTGTTGAATCTGGCCTACTAATACTCTACTGTTTTTATTTGTATTGACTATTTCTCGGTTTATAAATGTTTATCTGTTGTTTCCCCTGGTTTTTAGGTTCAGTGTGCTTTACTGTTCTAGTTTATGGAGAGCATGTTGGCCATATTTAATGATTCACAAGTGTTTTCCATTTATTTACTGTTGTGAATTGCATTATGGGAGCTTGGTCTCTTCTCTGTCGACTTCTGATGTTGAAAATTCACCTCTACAGTTTAACAAAGGGACTTTTATGGACATTTTAGTTGTTTGAAATAATGTAATGTATAATAATTAATATATAAAGAAAAATAACTCTGTAACAACAAAAAATGTTCTTGCAGTTTATCACCAGGTTTTTGTACTGTAATGTACAACACCAACCCAGACAACAGATCACTTTAAACTACTGAAAATGTTAATACAAGTCACTTTTTGGCATAAGACGATTCCTAAGCCACTAAGTTCCATAAAACAGCCATCTTTATTTTGAAGAATCCCCCCTTCCACCCCTACTCCTCCTCCTTTCCTAGATGGGTGGCATGGTGGCCCAGTGGTTAGCACTGTTGCCTCACAGCAAGAACATCACTGGTTCTCGTCCTTACCAAGCCAGCCGAGATTTCTGTGCAGAATTTACATGTTCTCCAAGTGCTCACGTGGGTTTCCCCCGGGTTCCCGGTTTTACCTTCCAAAAACATGCAACTTAAGTTAATTTACTAATCCAAATCGGCACCATAAACATGCTCCTTATAAGTAGTTATCTCCTAAGAGCATTCACCATTTGTTCATTAGCTACTACAGCAGGGGAGTTCTCGAGATCTACCTGAACTCAAACTCCCCTCGCCTTGCAAATGGGAGGAAGCCCCGGACTCGAGGACCTTATGAGCTCAGGGCTCTCTCCCGGGACAGCATGCCAAACAAGCTTTATAATCAATCATCAGCAAAGTCTGAACTCTAAAAATGAACTTAAACAACTTAGAAAAGAAAAGGGAGATCCTTCTAGAGCAGACTAAAAGATTAGGTGGAGCAGTGGTTTTGATTCAGAAGCCAAATTATTGACTGTATTCTTTTGGCTTGAGACTTTTGGTCTCATTCACTTCAATTAATTAATTAGATGTTAGAAGCAGCTCGTTCTGCTGCTTGATGTTGCAAACTGATGTGTTCTTATTATATTATTAAACCTTTTATGTATAGTCATGAACACACTTGTTTGTGGAGTGAGTAGTTTGTCAGTTTTTTGATGTTTATTATTCCTGGTCATTTCTCCCATAGAAAATTGAATCGGAAGTTCTAAAAAAAGAAGAAGAAAAAAGAAATTCGCAAAAACGAGCGCGCTTCAGCATTGAACAATAAGGTTAATTCATTGGCAGGGTTCAACGCTAAGGATTTTTTCTACTGGCCCAATCGGACCAGTGGTTCAGATTTTTACTTGCCCTGCCAATATTTTCACTTGCCCCACCAAAAAAAAAGTTAATAGTTATTCCTTAACCACAAATAAAAAAATTAAAAACATGTCAATGTTTGTAAATCTAGAATTTAAATATTTAAAAAAATATTAATAAATGTATAAAGAGCAAAATTCAAAGTGTTTTGAAACAAAAGATGGCTGACCTGCCAAACTGTACAAAACATCACTTAATTTTTTTAGTCGTGGTGCACCCTCCTAAAGGTTTGCTTCTAAGACGTTAGAAACAAATGTTTTCCTTTAGCATAATCATTTGATGTTACCTTCTCTTCGCTGTACGGGTTGATATGGGAAAAAATAACGTGCTCACAACATCCAATCAGATAAGAAGAACAGAGAAGGTAGCATTTGAAGGCTTGAAAACACAAACTGTTTCTCAATTCTAAGACTGAATTTGCACGCAATTGACAGTCAGCACCTATCGGCCCAGTAACAATCCTGTCTACTGTCTCACACGCTGGCCCCGGGCCACCGGGCAGTCCTTATTGTTGAGCCCTGATTGGACATCAAACCATAACTGTATCATTCTCATAAGCAGTTTCATAAAGGTATTATTAGAGCTGCCTTACAGAGAATCTTGAACGCAATCATCATTGAACCAACTAGAATAAAACCAGATTTCTGATGAGCTGAGTGTGCTTTAGGAATTAGGGTGACCAGATGTGCCTGTTTTTAGGGAACAGTCTGATTTTTGTGGTCTTGTCAACAAAGCAAGACTGAACTTTGTGTACTTGATAGGCTCACACTTTATTTTGATGGTCCGTTTGTTGAATTTAAGTAACATTGCATCTACATGCCAACTAATTCTAATTAGATTATAGGTAGACTGTTAGGTTGAGGTTAATGTAAGTGTAGGTTGACATGAAAGTGCAAAGTTTCTTCCAGTCAGTTGAATGTCTGTTAAAGAAGCAGTATCAACAGTAGGGCTGGGCAATGTGGGCAAAAAGTCATGTCCCAGTATTTTTAGGAGGAATGAACCAGTATTTTCCCGTAATTACTTACTTGAGAAAACCTTTATCAAAACTTTAATAAACTTTTTTTGAGCAAAGCGTAATTCAAACACAGGGCTTTCCCTCCCTGTTATTATCATCATTATAATTAGCATTCTTATATTGCTACTTGTTGAAAGAGTAGATAACAGCGAGATATTAAAACAGAAAAAGAAATGTTTGGCAGATAATGCTTTGCAAATGTTTATTTTTTTTTTATTTTACTTAGTTTTTTTTAAGTTTTAATAATCGTTTAAACCATCAACTGTTTGTACACTAGGCACACACACAAATCAAATCACGTCTTCCAGTTAAGGAGCTAAAAACTATATAAATAAATAAATAAACAATTAATTAAACAAATACAATGGTTAGAATATAATCGGAATTGAAGTCAATATGCAGTGGACCAATTGACAAACAGACCAGAACGCAGAGCTAAATGTGTTATAACATAAATGTAAAGAAGAAATCATTGTGTTATAAATACTGAACTTATTATCAGTGAATATGAGGTGGATTCACTTTCAAAATGCATTTTTAATTCTTTTGAACACATTCAGGTGCTGCTTGTAAATTTGACAAGGCTTCTATGTTCGTTCTTGCTGTCAATTGCGGAAGAAATGATTGATAAAAGGTTTCTGATAAAGCGATGTGACAGCTGCAGGTGCTGTGAGGTGCGTGTACGCGAGGAGGAGTCAAATTTCGATCCAACACCAGCCTCCATGTTCCTCCATGTCGCGTGTAGTTACTGTTGCCAACTATTTACAGTGAAAAGGCGCTAAGCTCAGCCCAAAAAGTCGCTAAATTACGTCATACGTCAATTAGCGTATTACTGACATCATCATGTTCTGTCTCTGTTTGTTTAAGAGCCTATGGTCAATAAAGGAGTATTTACGTTTGCACTTTATGTAAGCATGTGAATTTAACTAAGTTTATTGCTGTTTGAATACAGTATATCATTATAGATGTGTAGTGAATTTGCAGTAATCTCCCAGACGAAATATACTCAGACAAGTTCCGAAACCGTCACTAAAATCTCTGTGATTATGAACAGTAAAATAATAAACAGTCAAATTAAATTGTTAAAATAAAGGAGAAGCAGATCGGTTTGACTGTAGCTTACAATGAAAATACCTCACACTGCCAGTGCTAAATCATTTGCCGTCAGAATGCAGAGGAGTGATCTGCTTTCAGGCTGCAGGTGGGAGAGACTGCTGTACGAGGACTGCGTTGCCTGTCAATCGATGTCATCACCTGCAGCTCGTTGAGAAAAGTAGGGACGGTACAGTATGGACAAATGACAGTCTATAAAAATCTCCGGTAACACACAAAAAAGTCGCTTTTTTGAAAATTTGTCGCTAGGGGGATCTGAAAAGTCGCTAAATATAGCTGCAAAGTCACTAAGTTGGCAACACTGCATGCAGTGATGAGTCATTCTTGAACGATTCGTTCATTTTTAACAAATCATTTGCATGACTCATGGAGTGAATTATTCATTTGCTCATGCGCACATTTGTGCAAGTGGAACTCGTGTGCTACCTTGGAGTGGTCTGGATGTGAGGCCTCAAATCTTATCGATATTAACGATATTGGATAATCCCGCATCGCGTTAGGGAATCATATCGATATATCCCAAGAACTCGATATACCGCCCAGCCCTAATCAACAGATATTAAGCAGACAGTCTACCAATACTCAAATGGACCATCAAAATAAAGTGTTACCCTTGATATTGAAAAAAAGCAGGTAGCGAATGTCTGCAGCCATGCCTGTTTTCAGATGTCTCCATTTCCCCCATCCAAAATGACAAGCAGCAGCAGGGTGAATAATTTAGACTTCAGCTGTATATGAACTGAACTTATTTCACAGTAATTAAAACTTCATACCAGATTTTTTATGCTTGCCTTTTTTTATAATGCTCTTTTATGACATGACATTTTTATAATTGTTTATAGAGTGAAAAGCAGTGTCCATACCTCACAGCGGAAGGGTTTCTCTCCTGAATGCTGCAGCGAGTGCACTTTGAGGGACATGCTGCGCTTGAAAGACTTTCCACAGGTTTCACAGGTAAACGGCATGTCCTTTGTGTGAGCTGAAGACAGAGAGAAGACAGAAGAATCTTTATCTGATGCTCTTTGTAGTATATGAGTGAGTTTACGTGCACGTTCTTAAACTAATTACACCTAAAATGCTGATGGTCATTTAAACGTGTTAAACTTAAATCAAGACAATCGCGTTTCTTAAATCAAGAGTGAAGTTATATAAACTGCATGAACTGAATGGCAGAGCCATATCCCTTGTGTGGATATTGTGTGGGATATAAATGCATTAATCTGCTTTCTGTTGGTTTGTTGAAGAGGGCAGATGTGAAACACTACAAAACATTTTTTTTTTCTTGAAATTTAGATGTCAGTGTTTCCTGGTTGCAATACTTTTCCTCTGTTTCTATTTATTTATTTAACACGACAACTGACAGACTTAATCAACAAGTAAATGATTACATTTGTGTACATGCAAATTTACTCGCATGGCTGTTTTATTGGTTTGCATCTAAACAGGAACAACGGGTTACTTCAGTAAGCTGATTTGTGGGAGTTGTTGGCATATTTGCATTCATCATCTGCTCATTCATACTGAAGATTTCATGCTTAGTACAGGCTGTGTTGCATGTATATTATACATACCGACCATGTGCTTTCGGACATGGGCCATAGTGTAGAATTTCTTCTCACAAATCTCACAGGCAAATTTCTTCTCTGCGAATCCATGGACAATCTTGATATGCTCGTGGAGGGACCACAGCTTCTTAAAGGACTTATTACATGACACACACTGAGAAACAAAAAGACAGAGACACACTGTTATACAGCAACTCCATCAAACTCATTCAGTAGTGCATGTACTATATTAAGCCCTCTGAACTTGAATAAAGTCTCCCTCTGCTGGCCAGGATTGATGATTACAGTTTTTGAACCTTTAATAAAGCAATTCAAGTTTACGCTCTTACAGATTTAGGAATTATAAATGACATAATCATGCTCAGTCTTTATCTAATGTAGTATTTAGTAGTATTTAATTACTAATTAAGCACCAGTACAATAACAGCACTGTTAAATCTAAACTTTGTATCTTCTCACTCCACAACTGATACTTTTATTGGTCCCACTTTATATTAAGTGGCCTTAACTAATATGTACTTACACAGGAATAAATAGTTTGTTACGATGTACTTATTGTGTAAATACATGTATTTACTGTGTACTTATGCTTGATTAAATACATGTATGTATTTACATCTGAAATTACCTTTTGTAATTACATTTGTAAATACACTGTTGACCATCCCTTACACCTTAACCTACCCTTAAACCTACCCATACCACCAAACCTGTCCATAACCCAACCTCTATCCCAACTCAAAAGCACCACAAGTGTTCTTAAATACATTATAAACACAGTAAGTACATTGTATTTATTTTTTTGATGCAAGTACATAGTAGTAAGGGACACTTAATATAAAGTGGGACCCTTTTATTTGCATTTAGACCCCATATCTGGACAGTTTAAAAGCCTATGTGTGTGATATCTTGAGATTTGGGCTGACCATGTATTCAGGCATTTTTATTTGCCTTCTATTGTCACCCTATTTGCTATTAGTCCTGTTGTACTGTTTTGCTTGTGGTGCAATACTCTATAAAAGGGGTTTCCAAACTTTTCAGCCTGCGATCCCTAAAATAACAATGCCAGTGACTCGCTACCTCTAAATTTCTTGGAAGTAGTTATAAATATACAAACACTGTGCACACAACAATAAACATATAAATAAACATAAACAATAAACATGAGCAAATTGACAACACAAAAAAGTGCAACAGTCTAACAATCATATAATGTTTATAGTCATTTCCTCACCTAAAGAGACTAGTAGGCACAACATTATTAACACAAGTCTGTTCTTGGTTTAATTTTGGAGACCGCCACTCAGAGATCATCCTCAATGTTCAGTTGTGGTCTGTGTTTATTTTAATGTATTTGATTGCCATAAAGGGGTCCGAAAGTTTAACTTGGTGCTATAAAATCAGTCTATTGCCGTGTCGTTAATCTAACATGAACACACCAATCCTATGAAGAAAAAAAAATATGGAAAGGCTGATGGCTTTTTATTTGCATGTTGTTAATTTTTTATGTAACTTTCAACTTCTGTGGGTTATGGATAAAATACAGTCACTTTAATAGTTTAATAAAATTTATTTGACTTTTGTATATCACCAAGGGACTCCGTCATTGTCTCACGACCTCCACTTCTCTATGGCTATTACCATATATATACTTTCATTCATATTCTTTTCAGCTTAGTCCCTTTAATAATCAGGGGTCACCACAGTGGAATAAACCCCCAACTTATCCAGCATGTTTTATGCAGCGGATGCCCTTCCAGCGGCAACCCAGCACTGGGAAACATCCATACACACTCATTCACACACATACACTACAGACAATTTAGCCTACCCAATTCACCTACCTCATCCAAACACAGGGAGAACATGCAAACTCCACAAAGAAATGTCAACTGACCCAGCCGAGGCCTTCTTGCTGTGAGACGAACGTGCTACCCACTGCGCCACCGTGCAGCCATATCTTTACTTATGATTGAGTATTTTTGTTTTCATTTCATGTTAATGTGTTTGTAGTTTTGTTTGTGTTTTGAATAAATAAGATAAACTTAATGAGTAACTTTTCACTTATCAATTTTTGGTTAATACCCATCTCATATTATAATGTTATGTTATGTTGGCAGCTTTTGTCAAAATTAATGAAACATCATTTTTTTAGTCAGCCCATACAACACAACTATCCAAAACTTATACATGTAATACATTTTTTAATGATTCTGAAATAGGTTTATTACCCTTCCATTAAAGCTGTTCATTTGATCTAAAAAAATATTAATATTCTAAATGTAAACGTTTTTATTATTATAATAACCTTCCTGTAAGATTAAAGCTGAATTTTCAGTGTTTCATTTTTTCAGTTGTCACTTGATCTTTCAGAAATTATTCATATTTGCTAATCCGGTTCTTAAGGAACAGTTTTATTATAACTAAACAGCTGCTTAATATTTTGGTGGAAAACAACTTTTTAGAAGGCGAAGCAGTGGCGCAGTGGGTAGCACGTTCGCCTCACAGCAAGAAGGTCGCTGGGTTCGATCCTCGGCTCAGTTGGCGTTTCTGTGTGGAGTTTGCATGTTCTCCCTGCGTTCGCGTGGGTTTCCTCCGGGTACTCTGGTTTCCCCCACAGTCCAAAGACATGCGGTACAGGTGAATTGGGTAGGCTAAATTGTCCGTAGTGTATGAGTGTGTGTGTGGATGTGTGGATGTTTCCCAGAGATGGGTTGCGGCTGGAAGGGCATCCGCTGCGTAAAAACTTGCTGGATAAGTTGACAGTTCATTCTGCTGTGGCGACCCCAGATTAATAAAGGGACTAAGCCGACAAGAAAATGAATGAATGAACAACTTTTTAGAATTATTTAATGAATATAAAGTTGAGTATAACACTGAAAAAGACTTTACTGTCACTTGTGCCCTTGCTCAAAAGCAGTATTCATTTCCTAATCAAACCATTTTGAGGGATGTAAACAATAACAATGGTCCTGACATATTTCCATGTTTCACATTTAAAATTCCATAGCTTTAAGAGTCCAAAAAGTTCTGCATATTGATAAATATTGTTACGATAGCTGTTATGACATCAAGTTGCGATTGAATTGCCACTTGTTACAGACATGAAATATTTTAACAACAAGCAAGAAATGTGCATGGACCAAAGATATCACTACATTGAAATGGTCAATATCACTCAATCTCCTTTTCTACACTTTATCATAATGCAAAATAATAATCGCATGTAAAAGTATCTTGTAAAACTTTTGAAATGATTTGTTTTGTTAAAATGAATTCACAAATGCAAATGAATGAACTATTTAGTTTTTAAAACCAAATCTTTACTGATCCGACTGCTGGACTGGTCCATGATTGAGGGTGGGGGACACATTTAAGCATATTAATAATCATGTTTAAATTAAACATTTTTAGATCCTCATCGTATAAAATATGTTATATATAATTTACAGTTATCATTTATACTTCTCTGTATTTATTTGGGGGCCCTCAGACTTCCTGGGTGAGTGTTTACCTCACTTATTGACTAAATCCAGAACATTTTTTTTTAAATTTTGCTTTATTAATTCATTTTGTCTTCGGCTTAGTCCCTTTATTTAATTAGAGGTTGCCACAGCAGGATGAACCACCAACTTATTGTCCTTCCAGCTGCTACCCAGTACTGGGAAACACCCATACACTCATTCACACACATACACTACAGCAATTTAGCTTACCCAATTCACCTATAGGGAATGTCTTTGGACTGTGGGGGAAACCGAAGCACCTGGAGAAAACCCACGCCAACACGGGGAGAACATGCAAACTCCACACAGAAACGCCAGCTGACCCAGCCGGGACTCGAACCAGTGACATTCTAGCTGTGAGGCAACAATGCAAACCACTAAGCCACCTTGCCGCCCTAATTTTGCTTTACCTAAATTTTATTTCTGTCTTAGATTAAAAAAAAAATTAGTTATCTCTTGTACCAAAAAAGTAGACTTTCCATAACATACTATCCTAACTTTCCACAATTATGGCCTCTGACTTCAGTCTGAGATCATGTGACACCTGTGAAGCTGCTCTTTACCTGAATATTCTTCTCGCAGTCTGTCTGCTGGTGCAGAGCCAGCTCACTCTCCAACACGAACTTCTTCCCACACTTGTCGCAGATCTGCATGCGCCTGTGCGTCACGTTCATGTGCTTCTCCAGGTACCAGCGAGTGTTAAACACGCGCGGGCATTTTTCACACGCCAGCGTCTCTTTCTCCTCCCCCTCTCCCTTGGCACCTCCTCCAGTGGGTGTGGCTCCAGATGCAGAAGAGGCGGAGCTTTTGGCCTCCTTGGCTGGTCTGCACTTTTGGGGCGGGGCTTCCGCATGCTTCCTCCGCCCCCTGGTGGTCACACCAGATGATGTCACACTCGAAGCAGCGACTCGACGACTTTTTCGGCGCGGCTGAGCGGTGGTCCGTCCCCTCTGCGCCCGCTGTGCTCTTGTACGCCGACTATTATTCTCCTCCTCCTCTTCTTCATCTTCATCCAGATCACTGTAGTTCTCTTCAACACTGTCCTCTTCCTCCTCCTCCTCCTCATCATCCTCATCTTCATCCTCCTCACTATTGCTCTTATCTCCGGCAGCGTTCCCCGCATCGTCTCCTTTGGACACGTGCAGGGTTTGGTTATTTAGGTTGACCTCAACGATGATCTGCCCTCGTTTAAACTCGTCCTCCGCTCCGGCTCCTGAATCGTCAGCTTCCGAATCATCCGATGTTCCTCCGTTTCCAGTCTTTGCCGGAGCCCCTTCCCGGTAAAACGGCTGATTCGGGGCAGGGTTCAGCTCTGAGGGCATTTGCGAATCTGTAGCCATTGTGCTGTCGATGGCCAAGGAGTACGGTGTATCCTCAGCTTCTCGCTTGTAAATCTTGGGCGATAGTTCAGAATGAGGAGCGGAGGTGTTGTGGATGTACGTTTGGGAAGGTTGCGTCATTGGCCGCTCTTCTTCGGTCATCGCCTCCAGGCCGGACAGCTCTTCCCTCAGTGTCTGGCAGGACTTCATGGGCAGTTGACCTCCTGCTCGACAAAAGTGTTTGCCTCTTTATGTTTGAGACTATCCAGTCCTGATGTAGAGGGTCAAATGTACCCCTCCTCTCTGTTGAACGAGAGGAGGGTGTAAAGGAGGAGATACTAGAAGAGAAGCTTTAGCCAAGGCCAAACTGAGCCTCCATTACTTGCACTATAGCACACAAGAAAAAGAAACAGTTAATTATAAAACAGATCATGAGGGCACAAAAACAACATACACAAGGGATGTCTGACACTTATAGTTCTTTATATCTGGAGGCCAATTAATATGTCTGGAGGACTTGCTTAGTTAACATAATTAACCCTTTTTTTATTGAATTTTTCAGAATGAGTTACCTTGTTAAACCTTCAAATGTCACTTTAAGCTGAATACTGTCAGGATTCTGCCACTTTGGTCTTGTAAATTCTTGTTTTGGTGGTAGAGATTAGACACTAGTCCTGTTATGTCTTGTATGTTGTGCTCGGCTCGAGTTTTCTCAGGTTGAGCACTCTAAATCTGTCTTCATTTTTTGTATGAGCGCTGTCTTGGCCGCGCTCGAAGTTCAGGTATGCTTGAGATGCATGCTCTCTTCCTGGTGTGTGTTTGTTCTGTCTGCAGCGTGCGGTTTCATTCTCAGCGTCTCAAGCCTGGTTTAAACTTCTGCGTCGAGTAATCGGCGTGACCCACGGCAAGCCTTGCGCGTTGCCGTTCATTTATACTTCTGCGCGCTGTCTGTGTTCCTCTGCAATAACACTTCCGAAACGTTAGCCGGCAGTGAGGTGTTTATGTTCCTCTGTGTCGAGTTTCTTTGGTGGTGCTTTGTTTTTTGTAAATGCTTCCTTAAATGTACAAGAGGCTAAAACTCTCTCATTTTGAGGCAGAAACCTGCGGACATGCAACATTTTTAAGCATGAGGTAAACACAAAACTAAATTTTCCATTTAAAGCTCCTTCACGGGACTTGACACTGGCTCCAATGGATTCACGCGGCTCTTGTGTTGTCTCTTCGTGTCTTGTGCTCTCCTGTCTATTGTCTAGCCTCAACACACCTGCCTGGGTGTTCCAAGTATACCCAGTAAGACCTTGATTTGCTTGTTCAGGTGTGTTTGATTAGGGTTGGAGCTAAAATCTGAAGGACACTGGACCTCCAGGATCAAGTTTGGTGATCCCTGATCTATGCTATGCTAAGCTAAAAGTGCTCCCTCTAGACCCGAAGATCGGCTGAATGGCTTCAAAAATGTTAATACTCAACTGTTTAACTCTATGAGAGTTGTAAAATGAGCCTAATAAGTGGAACATTTCTTTAAGCTCTCCCTTTTTTGCCAAAATCTTAACATTCGACAATTACAATAGGACTATATAAGTGTTTCCCAACCCTGTTCCTGAAGGCACACCAACAGTACACATTTTCAACCTCTCTTTAATTAAACACAACTGAAATCAACTCAGCAGAACATTAGAAGAGACTCCAAAACATATACTGTTGCTGTGCCACCAGGAACAGTGTTGGGAAACACTGCACTATAATATCATTGCAATTTTAACGTCCTACTGTAGGTTACAAATACATCATGTGTTGAAACAGTCAAATCAACAAAGTTTTTTCCCAAAATAGTGCAAAACCAAAGAACCAAAAAAAATTGTGCAGGCCTGAAATGTTTAACCTCAAAGCGCTCACCTGAATTCTGCCTCAATGTGCAGCGGCATGCACGCATTTCATCCCAAATCAAAGTTGTCTTTGCTTTATGTCACAGCTTTAGTTGTTTGACAGCATCTCCATTTCACTTGGAGAAACAATAGCGGCGCCTCATCTGCAATCTCTGCTGATTCAGACACAAAAAGCCGCCTCCTCTCTTTCTCTGTGATGTGATGGCGTCTCTTTGCTGTTCAACTCAACGCTTAGATCTTGCAGTCATCACCAACTGCTCCGAATTAGCACCCCGCAGCTAGACGCTACCTGAAAGACAGCAAAAAAACAATGTAAATGACAACTGAATGCAATCACATCAGGTGTCAAGTAAGACGTCACATTAAATGTACATCACATTAAGAATACATCAAAGCGAGTAAATGAACCACAACTACCGATAAAACAAGAGAAGCGTGTCATCAAACTGATATTCAGGAATGGCTACGATCTTGCTTTATATTATAACACACTTCTGCAACTCCAGTCATTGCAGTTATCAGGTAGAAGCTCCAAACCAGGTGCCATACATCCTTTATACGTATATATATGTGTGTGTGTGTGTGAGAGAGAAAGAATTAGAGAAAGCAAGAGAATAAGAGAGAGAAAAGAGATAGAGAAACGAAACTTCAGCCTGGTTAAGGTGTAGCCATGTAAAATCTCACAACTAATCACACACAAGCCCGACCGCAACCGTTTTCGATTCTCAGTGTAATCAACTCAAAATTGAAACCACAAAAAGCTGAGAACAGCAAACACATCAGCACATGACCAAATTTCCTCTACTGAACAAACCTTCTTTTAAAAATCAACAAATCAGGGACAACTTGCACACTTCATCGCTGATAAAGGCCAACAAGTGAGAATTATTTTACAGTATTTGGCCTGTAGTTAGTAGTTATTGATCAAATCATAAATGTTTACCTGTGATTACTGTGCAGTGCAAAGTGGAAATCAAATGTCTAAACAATTATTTAGAAAAGCACAAAAGAGCATCCTGTTTTGTATGAACACTATCCGGTCACTTTATTAGGTACACCTTACTAGTACAGAGTTGGACCCCCTTTTGCCTTCAGAAATGCCTTAATCCTTGATGGCATAGATTCAACAAGATACTATAAATGTTCCTCAGAGGTTTTGGTCCATATTGACATGATAGCATCATTGCTTTAGATTTGTCGGCTGCACATCCATGATGCGATTCTCCCATTGCATCACATTCCAAAGGTGCTCTATTGGATTGAAGTCTGGTGACTGTGGAGGCCATTTGAGTACAGTGAACACATTTTCATGTTTAAGAAACCAGTCTGAGATGATTCACGCTTTGACATGGTGCGTTGTCCTGCTGGAAGTAGCCATAAGAAGATGGGTACACTGTGGTCATAAAGGGATGGACATGGTCAGCAACAATACTCAGGTAGCCTGTGGCATTGATACGATGCTCAATTAGTACTAATGGGCCCAAAGTGTGCTAAGAAAATATTTCCCACACCATTACACCACCACCACCAGCCGGAACCATTAATTCAAGGCAGGATTGATCCATGCTTTCATGTTGTTGATACCAAATTCTGACCCTAGCATCTGAATGTAAAAACATCTTTCAGCAAAGCGTTTTGAATATCTCAATTGATTTTTCATCACAGCTTTAAGAGATTCTTAACAAGGTTTACTAAAACATATATATATATATATATATATATAAAGGTTGATTTGTCTTAGTACCATGCTAAACAACAGTCATAGGTGTACGTTTCTTTGTAGAGTATTTTACAACAGCCTAGAATGAAGCTCAACAATGACAATCAAGAACCGGAACAATCCCTTTTTATAATGCAAGAGTTGCACCTATTTCAGCTAACGGTCGCCAGCCATTCATCTTTGATCTTTACAACATTCACTAAACAGAGAAACAGATTTACCCAAACATGGAGTCAGTTACAAACTCAAGAACCAAAACGAGACCACAAGTTTCAGATTGAGTGATTTGAAACAAGTGTGTGGGAAAGGTGTGTGTGTGCGCCCTCAAGGAACGATCTCCTCCCTAAATCGATGACAAATTCAAACAATATCTGACAGTAGGTCAAGGCACAGAAAATGACCCTGAAGGTCAGAATGCAAGACCCCATAGTCTACTGCGAGATCAAGAACAGCAGCAAGTAAACAGCAGACGCAGACAGGAAAAATAGCGGTGTTTTTGCACTATACTCTAAACAGCCTCAACCTTGACTTCCTGGCTGTCTATGAACATCTTTGTTCTGTTTGAGCGCATGTGTGTGCCAGTCGCCCGTGCGAGCTGAACCAATGTTTCTGTGAAATACGCACTGCTTTTTCGAACAATACTGCATTGTGAAGCATTGACTGTGTACGACATGATAAAATCTGATGCCTTGTGACTAGCAAGATAATCACCGTCTAGTCGGAGTGCTGTGAAGAGACCAGCTGACTCACATTAACCCACCTCTTAAATCCATCATAGGAGAATAAACAGCTTAAATAAAAGACTTTTCTTTGTCAGACACATGCTAACAGTGGTGTCTTTGACTGTCTGAGTGCACAGATGCAAAGCAAAACGCACATTTCGAGACCGTTACAGCCGTTTTTTTATGGATCACAAGGCTTGTTGACTCATCAAGGTGCGTGCGAAACCTCTAGATGAAAGAAAGTGAGTTTATGCTGTTGTTTGGCAGCAGGAAAGGATGTGTGCCACGGCATAATGCAGATGTGTGCATTATCTTACAGTATGAATGTATGTGCGGTTTCGAAAGGTCGTGACCATTATGTGTGTTTGAAGTTGAGGAAGCGGAGTTTGAATGATGAAAACTGAAAAAAGCAAACAGTTAGGCCAGTTGAATCAGAAATGTGAGGCCTTAACGTATACGGCTTCACCTTTTGAGTCACGTTTAGGGCACATAAGCTTATGAAACATAAGGTTTCTCCAGGTGTCAGCAACTTAGATTTAAGGCTCTTTCAGAAACTGTATTAACAGTTGGCTCATTGACTGTAATCATATGAAGGTTCAAGAACATTTTTGTGTGCCCAAACAAACAAACCAAAATAGAAAAGTAAATTTCTTGCTCATCATTTTGGGCAAACAAGCACTTTAGGACCATTCTAAATGAAATTCACAATTTTGGTCTTTATGTCCTTTGCCAATCCTTCCCCTCTCTCTACTGTCCAATCAAATAATAAAAAATATTTATATTTACAGTGCATCTGGAAAGTATTGATAGCGCTTTATTTTTTTCCACATTTTTTATGTTACAGGCTTATTCCAAAATGGATTAAATGTATGTATTTCCTCAAAATTCTTCACACAATACCCCATAATGACAATGTGAAAAAAAGACTTTTAGAAATTGTTACAAATTTATTAAAAATAAAACACCTGAAAAATCACATGTACAGAAGTGTTCACAGCCTTTGTCTCTCTAAATTGAGCTCAGGTTCATTCTGTTTCCACTGATCATTCTTGAGATGTTTCAGCAGCTTAATTGGAGTTCACCTGTGGTCAATTTAGTTGATTGGACATGATTTGTAAAGGCATACACCTGTCTATAGAAGGTCCCAGGGTTGACAGTGCATGTCAAAGCACAAACCAAGCATGAAGACAAAGGAATTGTCTGTAGACCTCCAAGACAGGATAGTCTTAAGCCACAAGGCTGGGGAAGGTTACAAAATTTCTGCTGCTCAGTAAGTTCCAATTAGCATAGTGGCCTCCATCATCCATAAGTGGAAGATGTTTGGAGCCACCAGGACCCTTCCTAGAGCTGGCCGGCCATCTAAACTGAGTGATCAGGGGAGTAGGGCCTTAGTCAGGGACGTGATAAATTACCCGATGGTCACTCTGTCTGAGCTACAGCGTTCTTATGTGAAGAGAGGAGAACCTTACAGAAGGACAACCATTTGTGCAGCAATCCACCAATCAGGCCTGTATGGTAGAGTGGCTATACAGAAGCCAGTCCCTGTCTGGAATTTGCTACAGGGCATCTGAAGGACTCTCAGACCACAAGAAACTAAAATTCTCTGCTCTGATGAGAGTAAAATTAAACTCTTTTGAGTGAATGCCAGGCCTTACATTTGGAGAAAACCACCAGGCAGCGCTCATCGCCAGGCTAATACCCTCCCTACAGTGAAGCATAGTGGTGGCAACATCATGCTGTGGGGATGTTTTTCAACAGCAGCAACTGGAAGACTAGTCAGGATAAAGGGAAAGATGAATGCAGCAATGTACAGAGACATCCTGAATGAAAACCTGCTTCAGAGTGCTCTTGACCTCAGATTGGGGCGACGGTTCATCTTCCAGCAGGACAATGACCCAAAGCACACCGCCAAAATATCAATGGAGTGGCTTCACAACAACTCGATAAATGTCCTTGAGTGGCCCAGCCAGAGCCCAGACCTAAATTCTATTGAACATCTCTGGACTCTGGAGAGATCTGCAAATGACCGTACATTGTCACTTCCCATCCAACCTGATAGAGCTTGACAGGTACTGCAAAGAGAAATGGGGAAAAATTCCCAAAGACAGGTGTGCGGAATACATATTTTATATTTTATATATATATATATATATAATGGGCGAGGCAGTGGCGCAGTAGGTAGTGCTGTCGCCTCACAGCAAGAAGGTCGCTGGGTCACTGGTCCGAACCTCGGCTCAGTTGGCATTTCTGTGTGGAGTTTGCATGTTCTCCTCGTGTTCCCGTGGGTTTCCTCCGGATGCTCCGGTTTCCCCCACAGTCCAAAGACATGCGGTACAGGTGAATTGGGTAGGCTAAATTGTCTGTAGTGTATGAGTGTGTGTGTGTGAATGTGTGTGTGGATTATTCCCAGAGATGGGTTGCGGCTGGAAGGGCATCCGCTGTGAATGAATGAATGAATGATTGAATATATATATTATTTCAATAAGTATTTTTATTTAGAGTATATCAATTTAAACTGGTTAAGACCAGTTTCACATAATTTAGAGGGATTTTTTCTTGGATCTGGTTGAGGTCAATCCTCTCTCAGAACCCAGATGCTTTGTGTTGGTTGTGGAAATTCAAAATTGACCCAAAAACAAATAATAAAGATGGTCTAAGATTCAACTATGGTTTAACTGGCGTACTAAAAGCCACGGAACTAAAAATAAGTAAATAATAAAAATAAGGCGACTTTTCCTGCTAGACCGTTTTTTTCTCATATTGTTTTCCATGCATTTTTTTGCAAAGCATTGAACGCGTTGCATATTTAAAATGCTTCAAAACTTTGTAAAACGCTGCTGTTTTTAA